TTAAGCAGAGATCCCCAACGCACATCGCCGGATTCCCGACCACAAGCCACCAAGCCAGGAATCCCGGAAGCCCTAAACATCCCTAGGCCTTAAACCCTAAGCATCCCTAAGCCCACAAGCCCGAAATCCCAAGTCCTAAACCCCAACACCCTGGACGGGAACCCCCGAAAGAAGCAGCAGGTTGAAGATTCGGAACTTGGGCTCCACAACGGCGCCGAAAGAGCCCCAGTTCCAAGCTGTTGCCGCGACAGCTCCTGTTGCCAAGGGCTTTTTGCAAGAGCGCCTTGGACAGAAGTACAGCCGCACGAGGTTTCTTTCCTTTGTTTTTGTGGGGTTGAGGGTTTGGTGCTTTGTGGTGAGTCGTGAGGCGGGGTGGGTGGAAGTCGGAGTTGGGCTTTTGGGTGTAGGCTTTGGGGTTCAGGGTCTACGGCGACTCAGGATTTAGGGTCTACTTGGAGGGGCAGGGGACTTAGTAAGTAGCGTATAAGTAGGGCTATAATTGGGATAACTCCATTTAGGGTACTTATAACTCTACTTATAACCTACTTACTATGTCCCCTGCCCTTCCAAGTAGGGTTCAGGGTTTGTGCAGGACGGTTAGAGTCAGGGCCTCACAGCGGTTTGGGGTTGAGGTTGTGGTCTCAGTTGGGTTTGAGGTGTAGCGCTTGAGTTTTGTTTCCAGGATAAACCCGGGAGCATGAGTTCAAAACCCCCTAGAATTGAATGAATCCAAAATTGAATGAATCCTAAATCTAAATTCCTAAACCAATAAAAGAAGCATGACACCACAACCGAAACCCTAAACTTTAAAACCCAACCCTAAACCCAAACCCTAAACCCTAAGCCCTTAAGCGAAACCCGAAATTGAGTTTCAATGAGACAAGAGCCTCGAGTTGCAGCCCCTCAGCCCCCTTGAGGGCCCAATTGGGCTTTCTGAAATTGCAGCGAACCACAAAAAGTTAGAACATGGAGTCACGGTGATTCGTGTTGGGAGTTCGTATACCTTAAGTTACAGGCCTGAGGAAATGAAGCTCCAACTTGCTGGCTTCTAGCCTCGGCTCCTTATCATAGAGATGTCTCTGGTTAGGCACGCCTTGTAATGACGATCGTCCTGTTAGGTAAGCTTTGACCTTTTTTTGGGCACGATGCTCCCTGTAGAATAGGGTACTGGACGAGTGCAAGCAAAGCTTTCGAATTCTTGTGAGGAAGGCCCGTCGATTGAACAAGCAGCGCGAGCAGTTGCTGACAGAGCTGGAAACAACTCTCTCCAAGGTGCCTTGTAGGGTTCTGGGTTTTGGGGGGGCTCTGGGGTTTAAGTTTTAGGGTGATTTCGGGTGCATTTGGAAAGGGGCTGCCGACTGGTGCATGTTTAGAGGAGTGGATGAGGTCACTGCATGGGCGCTTGAGTCCAAAAACCATAGCGGACCCTTGCCCGGCACTCCAGATTCCCAGACCTTCCAATACTCCTCAATTAATTAAGGAGTATATCTTAGATCATATCAGGGATCCTACTTCAACTGAAGGTAACTAGGGGATATTGGAAGGTCTGGGTTCATTAACCTACAATCCGCACACCCTGCTTGCTGTTTAGGGTGTGAGGGTTCAATTCAAAGGGTACAGGACAAAGACCAGCTGAGGTGCTTTGCTGTTTCTTTGGGTTGAGGGTTGGAGATTACTTCAGCTTGCTTGTCTTCCCAGGCTCTTGATGTTACACACCCTAATGCCCGGGATACATGGAGACCTTGCAGCAAGATGTGGGCTATCGTACGCCAAAGTAAGGGCTAGGATTGAGATAGCAGAACTCACCGTGTAGACCCTGCAGCGAGCAGTAGGGGTCTGTCTGTTTCATTAGTAACAACATCGGTTCAGGGGCTTAGGGGTTTAGGGGTTTAGGGTTATCCCCTTACAGTCCCTACGGTTGTAATGCATATATCCAGCATCCTGTTCTACCTGCCCCCTCAGTAGTACGGCTTGTCTGAGGCGCGCGCCGTGAAGATGAAGACTTCGGCAGAAGCCTTCCACACAGCTCAGCGCAGAGCTTTGGGGAAGTTGTGCCTTGGTCAGCAGTGGCACCTAGGATGCTCCAGTGATCATGGACATGCCGGGGATGTTGCCGTGACCACAGATATTCTGCTTGCCATGTGACCAGCCATAGTAACGCCTGTTTGTGAGATGTTGGAATCGGCGGCAATGAAGCGGTGCTGCTGATGATAATGATGACTTCCATATTGATGTCCAGAACTGAGATGGTGAGGAAGATAGTGCGAATCATCCAAGACAATGAGCTTGAACTCTGAACCAAAAGCCGTGCCCCGTGACTTGCAGTTGATGGTTTGGGGTCTATGAGCCTCTAACCCACAGGCCGTCAATGACGTCAACCCTGCAATCTCTTGGCAAAAGAAGAGTTAACCTGAGCCATTTTTGCCTTTTTGAGGTCTGAGGTTACCTTATAAAATTACCCAATGCCAAAGCGGTAGCCCTGTTTATTCCTGGGTTACCCGGGGTCCCGCAATACTGTCAGAAACCCAAGTGCCCAACTATTGGGCTTTCTGGATCCTCAGGACGCCTCCGAGAAACAAGTTGAAGAGAAAAGGAGCCTGTGACATGATGGGTTTCGGGTCGGGTTTAGGGGTTTAGGGTTTATGGACGGCGTTTACGGTTGAGGACTTTTGGATGAGTAGGGCGCCGAGAGCTTTTAGTGTTTTTTGCTTTTAGTGTTGGTGCTCAGGAATGTTTAGGGTTCCTAAACCCTAAACCGGGGTTTTGGTGTGGCTTAGGAACTGAGGGTACGGAAACTTAGGAATGCAGGGTTCAGGTTGAAAGGAGGGCTTGGGGTGGAGGTTTGAGGAGTTTAGACTTGGGATTCTGGCTTCAAGCGTTTCAGACATGCGGGTAACATAGGGGTCGGAAGAACTACAGTAGTATACTGTCACCTTGCTGTTCCTATGCAGGTATAATTTTATATACCCCAAAGCAAAACTCTATTCTAGCTGATACGATTTGAACCATCAACCTGAACCATAATATATAGAACAGTGGCGTCCAGGAGGCATTTAGCTTCCCTTCTTCAAACACCCTTATAGAAACTCAACCCTTATCTAGTGACCACTACGGGAACATATGGGTGGTTGGCAAAATTAGGGTCCCTTTTTGGGTCCTTATTATAATATCTGTTTTAGGGTACCCAAAAAGGGACCTCAATTTTGACAACTACCCATATTCAAAACCTTAAAAGAACACACCGAAAGGAGCCCTGAAAGTCCCAAAGCCCTAAACCCCAAAACAACCTTAATCTCTAAACTCTATAGAAACCTGATCCCCCTTAAAGGAACCCTTAAAGGGACCCCCAGGGACTCTTAAAGGAACCTTCAAAGGAACTCTTCAAGGAACCCGGAGAGGAACTAAGAAAGGAACTCTTAAATTAACCCCTTGAAGAAGCCCTTACAACCTTCAGCCGAGGACCACCGGCACAAGCATGACGCGGCAACAGGAAAAAGATCCATTTGGGGGGCTGCCTCGAGTTTAGGGTTCTCCTATAGGGTTTGGACCCCCTATTAAAGGATTTAGGGTTTAGGGTTCTCCTATAGGGTTTAGATTTCAGGGTTCCCCGATTAAAGGATTTAGGGTTTAGGGTTCTCCTATGGGGTTTAGGGTTGAGGGTTCAGGGTTCTCCTAAAGGGTTTAGGGTTTTAGGGTTTAGGGTGTAGGGTGTTAGGGCTCAGGGTTTTGGATACAGAGACTCCAAAATCCTTCACGGGTATTCCTGAGATCATATTTGGGATCCTACTGTAATTTAAGGTATATTCCTCAACTAGGGATTTTAGAGTCGCTGGGTTCAGGGTTCTCCTATACCAAGCTTTTGCTGTAAACTTTTTGCTCTCGTTTCAATTTTTCTGTGCGACATTATTCGGGCACTCGCTAATTTCCACTCTGGCCTTAAAACCAGAATGGATTTCAACGAAATTCTGACGTCAGCAAATCATTCACACATGGTGACCGCGGGCCCATAAATTACATGTCAGTTCGTGTGTCCAGGACACAACCGAAGAACGGTTGGAAAGTATTTGGGTTCTTGCAGGCTGTGTTGTGTTCAGAGTTTCTACTGATTCTTCCGGTTGCCATGTGGTTTCCAAGATACAAAAACATCACAAAAGGCTATGCCATGCGCCGGAACAGCTCTCCACCTGGGTTCCCACATATAGTGCCGCCAGGGGATATTACATTGTTTCCAGTTTGTCTGCATGCATTGTTCAATCTAGCCCACCCGAAACCTCCAGGCCTAATGTAGCAGCCCGAGGATACAGAATGGGGCATTGGGGTATTTATATTATTCCAGGACGTAACTATTATAGTAGGAACCTCAAATAAGTAATAGCGCTTCTATACCCTAAACCCTAAACCCTAAACATGCCCAAGCCTGGCACCTTGGACACGAAGATCACCCCTAAACCCGGATCCCCTCCTATATCCTTTCCCCCCTTAGCCCCCTAAACCCCAAAGCCCTAAACCCCAAACCCTCAACCCCCAAACCTAACGGTTGATGATATAAATCCTGCATTGCCCATAATAAGGATTAATACCATAGTTCCCATAGTTTAGGGTCCTTAAGGTAATGCAGGATTTATATCATCAACAGTAACCACAACTCTCAACACCTCTCGGGCCCCTCAAAAATTCGAGCCTTCCGGGGACCCAGCCTTGAGCCTTGCAGCAGCTCCTAGAAAGGGGCCTGAATTATCACCTATACTATTTTTTTGGGGGGGAGAGTCCTTTTTAAAGGGGTCTATAAGGATTACTATAAGGGGTATTATGGGGGTTTATAGGATCTCCGTTTTGCCCAGGTTTTGGGGGTTTAGGGTTTTGGAGTTTTGGAGTTGGGGTCCTGTATGGAGTATTCTCGCTGTCCCATTTGCGAGCACAACATCTCTTTGCCAAAACCTCGAAGCTATTCAACCCTAAACCCTAAACCCTTAACCATTGTGATTCCCCATGTCTCTGAGGCACTCTGCGATCTTCTACGCGGCAGCGTTAGGTCATGAAGATGTTGTGAGGGAGCTGCGCCCCGGCTTTCGATTTCGGGTTTTCAATAGCGTTTGAGGGGTTCTGTGGGGTCTTGAAGTGGGTTTTCGGGATGTAGGATTTCAAGCTTGTTGCTCCCTATTATAAACCCTAAACCCCCGATCACAAGGAACCTACCACCAAGGTGTAGGCGGATGGCGGATTGAAGCGATTTTTTGAATCCAAATCCGCAAGACCTCAATCCTAAACCCGCATCCCCTACTACCCTCCTGAGCTTACGGCTAAGTCGCCGTGCTGTGTAGTCTTACTATGCTATGTGGTCGGGACCCAACCCTGCAGCTTACGCGTGTAGCGTTGCGGCCCTTATACAGCGAAGTTCTTATCCGGAGGCTTAAACATTGTACCCCAGACCCTGAGATCACAAAGAGGGTTTAGGGTATAGAACTTATATACCTGGACCCCAAAAGTATGTAGAATAATAGCCTTATATAGGTTTTGGGCCATTATTTTACCTGCCTTGGGGGGTCTAGGTAGGAGCTTAGGGGTCTAGGCTTTAGGAACCTCGAGCCCACACTCCTTCGAGGGGCTCGGTTTCCGATTTGGGAGTTTCCGAAAATTAGGGGTACCTCAATTTGGGGTCCTTATAATAAGGATCCTACTATTTAGGGCACCATGCTAGGGTCCCATATTTTCGGAAACGCCCATTTGTGCCGGTGACATGGCGGTTGCATGTCCAGTACGCGTGGTCGCTTTACTGTGGACACCTGCAAGCTGCTGGCTAGCACTTCTACAGCGCGCAGTACCTATCTGCAGTGGTGCGATACCAATCAGACGATTAGTCAACATGTCCGGCTTAAGGACAAAGATGGCAATGCCCACAGAAACTCCTCATGCTTGTCGAGGATTTGTGTTTTGTTTGGCTTCCTAAACACTGAACTCCAATCGTAAGGGTCCAAATTTGCCGGACGACCCTAGTTAATTTCCCCTGAACTCAAGAGGTTTACGAGTAGCCCTAAAGATATACAGTAAGGCATCCAGACCCAAACTCAGTCAAAGGGGAGAAAATGAGGGACCCTTAATGGGGACCCCCACCCTATAATGGGCTATATAATGGGTATATAATGGCTATATTAAGGGTATATACCTAGGGGTCCTCATTAAGGGTCCCTCCTTTTACCCTTGGACTCAGAAGCACACGAGCGAACCCAAGACTCTAAGCCCAAGGGCCGAGATCTTCGCTTCTAAAGCTAAAGCCCTTCTCCCAAAGCCTAAACCCGAAACCCTGAACCCTGAACTGAACCCTAAACCCTGAACCACGTGAATGCGGATTTCTGAAGTTAGATGCAGCTGTAATAGCAGAGGGAAAAAAGCATTCAAAAAAAACTGAGCCCCGAACGCTCGCTTGCGCTGCAAAGGACACAGGCAGGCTGCGCCTTGGGCAAGGCGCAGACTTGGATGACCTGCTGAGGGTTTCGGGTTCAGGGGTTTAGGGGTTTAGGGGTTTAGGGTTTAGGGTTTTGGGTTTAGGGTTTAGGGTTTAGGGTTTTGGGTTTTGGGTTTAGGGGTTTTGGGTTTAGGAGTGTAGGCTTCAATTGCCTTTGCGCGCGTTGGCATCGCTACTCTCGGTTCAGGTCTCCTTCCTTTGGCATGGAGGCTGCGGAGCCCCGGCGCTCAGACAAGTGGGTCATCATGGTGAAAGGTCCGGATGGCTTCCGCGAGATCGCGGTGGACCTCAAGTGGTGGACAGGACTGAGCGCCGGCGATCGGCGAGGTCGGCCCCCAGAAGACCGGCCCGTTGCCGACTTTGCAGTGGTTTTCCAGGCTTTGCCAGCGACAACATGCCCGGGAGCAGGGACCTACCCGGCCAACCCCAACGAGATGGGAGAAGTCTGGCTGGGCGGACCTCGAAAGGGTTAGGGTGCTTGGCAGATTTTCATTGTTCGGAGCCGGTGGATGGTAGGGTCTGGGAGTTCAGAACTTCGGGTGTCGGAAGAACAGACTAAGGCTCCTTCTCCCAGTCGAAGTCTAGTCCATCAATCATGTATAGGAAATCCCGTCAAAATGCTACGAATAAACCCTACTGCAATCCGTAAAACTCTGGACCCCAGACCCTAAACCGCACGTAAACTGGGCTCTTGTTGAAGAAGTCCATTTAAGTCATCATTGTAATGAACTCAGGCTGCATAAGGTCCCAGACCTTTCAAAATCCCTTAATTAAGGAATATCCCTTAAATTATAGTAGGATCCTTAATATGATTTAAGGTATATTCCTTAATTAAGGGATTTTGGAAGGTCTGGGGTTATTAGGTTTAGGGCTTTTGCCTTTAATTGTTAGGGTTTCAGGCTTTACTGGGGTTTATAAGGGTCTACTAGGGTTTAGGGTACCGCCGGCGCCCAGGGGTTTAGGGCTTAGGGGAGGTGCTAAGGGAACCGAATTCGCCATGAGCAAACCACACGCCTTTGCATCGGGAACAACTGTCGTATGATGTAATATACATGCATGTTTTGTCGACGACTTGTCTTAGGCTTCCCATGATGATAGCGATTTCTTCGTCGAACGAACCCCCAAGCCACCTGAGCTCGACCTAAACCCTAAGCCCTAAGCCCTAAAAGTTTAGAAGTTTAGAACCTTAAACCCTAAACCCCTAAACCCTAAGCCCCGAAACCCAAACAGGCCGAGCGTGACAGCAACCTTCACAGCCAGCTGGCGAAAGAGCATGGGAAGCTCGGCCTTGGATCAAGGATTGGGATTTTTTCTAGAGCTCAGGGTATAGGGTTCAGGGGTGTAGGGTTCATGGTTTAGGGATTTCGGGTCTAGGGTTTGGGGGTTTAGGGTTGTTTAGGGCTTAAGGGTTTGGGAGTCTAGGGGTTCAGGGTAGCTTGAGCCTCATGTTGCTACACCCTAAACCCCTAAGCCCAAGGCCTTAAGCCCTCAATGTCTTGACTCGGGACTTGGTGATTTCATGTGAGCTTCGTCCAGAAGAGTTCCTTTCCGAATGGATATCATGGAGTTGCATTAACCCAAAGCTGGGGATATTCGTGAGGGTGTTCGGATTTGAATAGGATGTCAGCGCCCAAGCAAATCTGAGGGCGAACTTACGAGAAAGTCCGCACGGTAGAGCAACACTGGGATTTGAATATTTAGACTGTGCAAGTTTAAACCTCAAGTGTTCTTTATTGAGAGAGCTACTTCCTGAGGCAGCGCATGGTGCAGAGCGTGTTGGACCTGGCGCGGAGAGTGCCTTGGGCGGCTGGAGCATGATATCGGGACATCCCAAAGCATAGCGCCCGATGAAGGTATCAACGACACAAAATATGAACGGCAAGACCTTGGTTGTTCGGGTTGGGGGGAGGGGGGCTTTGGGGTTTACGGCTTTTGGGGCTTACAAAATCGATTTGCTTTGGCATCAGATACTGAACAATCAAAGCCTGTAAGAATACATCACACAACGTCCAAACCCTAGACCCTAAACCCTGAAACCCTTGAAGGAACCCTTAAAGGAACCCTAAACCATAAGCTCCAAAACCCTTAACCCGCAACGCAAAACCCTTAACCTTCAAGGGGACTACAATGGATTAAGAGTTTAGGGGTTTAGGGTTTAGGCTTGTTTTAGGGTTGAGGGTGTAGGGCTCCTTCAAAGGTTCCCCTAAAGGAGCCCCATCATATTCTTAAAAGGAACCACAAAACCCCGTAGTCCCTGAAAGCGAGCTTGATAAAAGAACCCCATGATATTTAATATCCCTCCTTAGAAGGAACACTATCATAGCACTCATAATACCTATAGAACGCCATGATACTCTTAAAAGGAACCCTATTATGGAAACCCCCCAATACCCATAAAAGGCACCCGACTAATTACTACAGAAGCCCATCATACCCTCAGGAAGCCCATTACAGAACCCCATAATGCCTTTAAAGGAACCCTATTCTAGAACACCATAATACCCTTAAAATTCTGTTATAGACCCCCATCGTGCCGTTAAAGGAACCCTGTTCTAGAACCCCATAGTACCCTGAACTTTTAAAGGAACCCTGTTCTAGAACCCCATAGTACCCTGAACTTTTGAAGGTTCCCTATTCTAGAACCCCATAGTACCCTGAACTTTTAAAGGAACCCTAGTATAGAACCCCACAATACCCTTAAAAGGAGCCCAATTCTAGAATCCCATAATACCCTTAACTTTCGAAGGAACCCTGTTCTAGAACCCCATACCACCCTTAGCTGTTAAAGGAGCCGTATAATAGAACCCCAAAACGGAACCCTATTAAAGAACACCATTATACCCTTAGCTTTTAAAGGAGCTCTATAATAGAACCCCCAAAACGGAACCCTATTAAAGAACACCATTATACCCTTAGCTTTTAAAGGAGCCCTATTCTAGAACCCCATAATTACTACCCTTTACTTTTAAAGGAACCCTAGTATAGAACCCCATAGCACCCCTAGCTTTTAAAGGAGCCCTTTTCGCAAACTTGCCTCCAACCTTTCAGGCTGAGGCCCTGCGTGCGGCCACCCGCGAAGGCGCCTTCGGTGTTAGAGGCTTAGGTTTTTTTTTGGGGGGGGGGAGAGGGGGAGGGGGGCCTATAGGTTTTTTTTTTTGGGGGGGGGGGAGGGGGGGGGTTGGTTTATAGGGTTTAGGGTTAGAGGTTTAGGTGTTTTGTAGGGGGTTCGATAGGGTTTTCGGGTTTAGGGTCAGAGGTTTAGGTGCATCATGGGGTTCCTCTTGGGGGTATTATGGGGGGTTCGAAAAATAGGGTTCCTTTTGGGGGTATTATGGGAGGGTTCAAAAGGGTGTTCGGGTTTAGGGTTTAGGTTTAGAGGCTTAGGGGTATTATGGGGGTTCCTCTTGGGGGTATTCAGGGGGGTTCTAGAGTCTAGAGTAGGGTCGCTTTTAAGGGATTATGGGAGGGTTCTATAGGGGTTTTTGGGTTTAGGGTTAGAGGTTTAGGGGCATTATGGGGGGTTCTGTACCAGGGTTCCTTCTGAGGGTCGCAAGGGGGGGTTCTATAATTGGGTTCCTTTTAAGGGTCTTAGGGGGGTTCTAGAATAGGTTCCTTTTACGGGTCCTAGGGGGTTCTATAATAGGGATCCTTTTAAGAGTATCATGGGGTTCCAGGTAGGGGTAAGCCTCAAGAGGTTCTGCTTTATTGTTCCGCTATGAGTTTCTCCATGGGCTTTGGCTTTGCGGCTTAGGGTTCAGTGTTGGAGGTTTGGCGGAGAACGTCGAGGGCTTCGGGAGAGGTTTACGACAGATTAAGGGTTGAGGGTTCGAAGGGTCGGTGTAGTGGTTCCCGTAATATAAGGGTTCCTATGGGGGGTTGCTAAAGGTTCCTTTCAGGGCTCCTTTAGGGGGAGTACTACGAGGCGTTATCAGGGTTTTATGCGGTGCAGAAAGGGGATCTTTAGGGAAGTTTAAGTACAGTATTCAAAACAGTATAGTACAGTGAAGCCAAGCCCCAACCAAAACTATCCTAAGCCCCAAAAAGCAAGTACCCTCGAAGCCAATCTACAAGAAGCGCTGCAACTACTCTCAAAGCTGACTGGAGTTATCACCCCGGTGCCACATACCGTAATTAACACCCAAGACTGCACTCACGACCCAAGAAAAGAATAGCAGATACAAAGACAAAGTGATATACGTATCCTGCATATAGATGTTGATTGGAAATGCTTTGGGTCCTTGGACTCTGCAGGTCAGGAGAAGGTCGTGCGCTGCGTGCTGGAGTTGGCCAAGGCTCGATATGGGCCCTGGGAAGGTCTTAGGGCCGTAGGGATACTAAAAGGGGTTTGGGGTAAAGGCCTTGCAGCCATAGGGATGTTGAAAGGGCTTTAGTTTGGGCTTAGGCCGTAGGGATACCAAAAGGCGTTTAGGGCTAGGGCCAGGGTTTAATGTTTAGCGCCGACGGGATATTTAAAAGGGGTTGTATATGCCTTCAGGGCTTTACAGGGCTTTCTTCAGATTTGTGTCACCTTGCTCAGGGCTCCTTTTCCCTGGGATCAACACCAAAAGCCCTAAAACTTGAATTTCAAGGCTCCTGAGTAGTACACTTTTGCCCTTTTCATTATGTGGTTCCCTTATTAAGACAAAACCGAGTGAAAAAGGGCACCTTAATTGTTACGGGGTCAGTCAGGGACCTAGGTTTTGGAATGCCTGTAACCCTAAATCCTAAATCCTGAACCCTAAACCCTGAACCCCATAAGCTTGAGTTTCGGAGGCCTGAAGCTTTACCCGCCAGCCTTCCGGCAGGCAGTGACCACCGAGAACCTTCACGACGCCTGCGGTTCAGGACGCGGGTCATCCTTTTCATCGGGACGGTATGATAAACCCCAAACCCCATTCAAATCATGAAGGCTCCGATGTTGGCATACTAGGCTTTTAAACATTACCAGGATTTAGGGTTGAAGGGGTGTTGGGTTCAGGTTTTAGGGCTTCAGGCTCTTGGGGCTTTGGGTTGTGGGTCTTGGGTGGGGTCTGGACTGTCAGGTTCGGTATACTTAAAGGATCATGGGACTTAGTAACTATGGTTATAATTAGGGTAACTATACTTATAACCCCAATAAGGTACTTATAACCTTACTTACTAAGTCCCATGATCCTCCAAGTACGCACAGGGTTTCGGCTGCTTGGGAGCAGACTCTTCCTCGAAGCTTGGTACAGGAGTTGTGCATAACTTGCTTTTGGGGCTCCATGCTTCAAAGTATGAGCGTCTTTTGCTGCATGGTTTGTTCTTAGGCACCCGCAAAAAATCAAAAGACCATGCCCGAAGTCTCAACAATTTAAGGTTTTGGGTGTACGGCCTTAGACTTGGAAGGACAGCTCGGAGTTGTCAAGCGCCTCGTGGAGAATCTTGCAGACATCAATGTGCCGGACCAGGCACTTGTTTAGGGTTTAGGGTCCGCTTTCCTTGGGGCTCTACGGTTTAGGGTTTACGTAACCGTCCACCATTGCGCATGCATGTCTGCGCATTAACCTTGTACAACTGTGAACAGCAAAATGAAACCGTGCTGTGAAAACTGCTACCGCTGTTGCTTCGTGTTGCCTCATCTATTGTACTGTTCTTGCTGATATGCCAAACTCTTAGTCATCACGTTTCTGTAATTGCAGCTGTTTATTGCTATCAGCACACATTGCTAATGATGCAGCAGCCGCTCCTTCGATCCTGCCTAGCAGGTCTAGGTGAACGGATTCTTCTTGGGCCATAATTTCAATAACCTGCCCTACTAGGCTTCGTATGCTCGGAATGCACGAAGTAAGGGTGCAGAAGGCGTGTTTGAGGTTTCTTCAGTTTTTGGCCAAGGCCCACGGGATTACGGCTTGATGGTCACAGATCCCTTATTACACCCTAAAGGGTCCTTATAGAACCTCTCTACTTGTGGCTCTGTTGCAGAACGGCCGGGTGCCTATGCGCAGTGCGATTGAGAAGCCTGGCTCGACATTCCCCTTTAGGGGTCAGGGTTCAGGGCTTGGTGTTACATCGGGGTAAAGGTTTAGGGTTTGCGAGTCCGTGGTTTTTCGAGTGTCTAAACTTCCTGGGCTTCAGAAGGAACCATCGTAAGGACAGCATAGTATGTACTATCAACCCGAAACTCCAAGCACAATTCTGAACACGAAGCGAGCTTTAGGATGTAACGTGGTGAAATCTGATGAGTTGGGGCCTGGGGAGATGTGCCCAAGCAACATATAAGTTGGCTCGTAAAGCTGCTGTAGAGGAGCGCCCTTTTGCAGGGCTACGAGCAGATAGGGTATATGACATGAGCCATTCGGGGAGATACTGCATTCACCCATAATCCCTATAAATCCTGAACTTTCAACTGAACCACTAAATCCGAATTCAATGGCCATGACCATATAAGACACTTAAGAATCCCTGAAGAGCCCTTGTGGTGAAACCCCAGAATAACCTAGCCCCTGCTCCCCCCATGTTCGACGCATTCAGATTCAAATGACACTAGGCTCGACCGAGTCGATTGGCCGGCTAGATTCACCTTTGCAAGCTGGGTTTGGGGTGTAGGTTCCAGGGTTTGGGCTTAGTTCTTTTTGGTTTGGGGGTTGAGGGTTTGTGTCGAAACTACTGCTGATGGACAAAATCCTGCATGACCCATTATAAGGAATATACCATAGTTCCCATAGTTTAGAGCCCTTAGGGTCATGCAGGATTTGGTCCATCAACAGTATGGCTCGAGGCTTCATTGTGCCAGCTTCCGTGCCAAGCCTTCGTGGTTGTTCACAAGGATATGGGATTTTCTGAGAATAGGCGGGTACCTTCTTTTGGGGTCCTTATAATAAGGATCCTAACATTTAGGGGGCTATTTTGAGGTCCCTAATTTTCGGAAACTCCCATATGTTAGTCAGGATGTTTAGCACGGTAACTTCTGAACCCGGAAACCCTCTTCGTAGGGCTCTGCGACTGCTAAGTTGGAGCTCTTCCTCCCTCGTGACCATTATTATTCTCTTGTCAGGTGGTCCTTCGTGTGACATCGTCACCGTTAGTCTTACTCGCAGGGGTGGACATGATATCCTCGAGCTGCTGGCAAAAAACCATCTGCTTCAGTAAGGTTCTGCTCTGGGCATGACCCTAGGCCTTCAACCCTAACCCCGCTAAGCCCTAAACCCCCCCAGGCGTGGGCAGCTGGCCATCGTTGACTATCTTTGGGAAACCGGCAATGCAGCTGGCAGCATCAGGGAGTTTCTTTAGGGTTTAGTAAGTTTAGGGTTCCTATAGATCCCGCACACCCGGGATCCTTATTCTGTTGCAAAAAGGACCGCCGGAAATCAGGTACGCCCTCTTTTTTGATGCCTCCATCGCTCCTCTATCTGAAACCCTGGATCCCCTCATAGAACCCTAAAAACCCTAGTTTTTTTCTTGGGTTCCCCTCATAGAACCGTCTAAAATATTGAAATCTAAGAGGGCCTCGAAAAGTGGCGGCTTGTTAGGCTCGGGCTTTCGAGGCGTTGGCTTCAGGTGTATGGAATCTTTGGTTCACAGAGGGTTTAGGGCTTAGGGTTTAGGATGTAGGGTTTAGGATTTAGGGTTTAGGATTTAGGGTTTAGGATTTAGGGTTTAGGATTTAGGGTTTAGGATTTAGGGTTTAGGGTTTAGGGCTTAGGGTTTAGGATTTAGGAGTTACAGTAGAAGCCAGAAAGTTGGAATATCATTATCAGAGTCCCTTTAAGGTAAAATATAGGGGATCCTGCCATTATTCCGTATTCCAACTTTCTGGAGTTCCCTTTAGGGTTTAGGGTTCGAGCTCAGGGCTTGAGGCTTATCGTGGAGGGCTTGGGTAGGAATCTGGGTGAGGTCTTGAGGGTGGTGCGAGACTCCATAGATGCAGGCTGCAGGAGTTGAAGCCACGGGGTAAAGAGCGCTTCGGGGTTGCCGCCAAGATACTCTAAGTATATCCATGGCTGCAAAGGCAAGACATGTTAAGAAAGGCTGCATAAGACAAGAAGCTTGAATCCATCCATCCAGTAGTCTACGGGCACCCAAGCCCTGTACGCACAGGAGTAGAGAGTAGAAACGACCGGGGCATTTTCAGAATCGCAAGGATTTATTTGGTCACCCCCCCCCCCATGACAGACCATGCCCTTTCGACTCAGTCGTAGTGCATGGTCTGTGATCGGGGGGAGGGGGCACTCAGCTTTCAAAGCCTCAATTCCAAAATTTCCAAAATTTCCAAAATTCTCTCCCCTAACTTTCCGGATTTCCAAAATTTCCAAAATTTCCAAAATTTCCAAAATTTCCGAAATTTCCAAAATTTCCAAAATTTCCAAAATTTCCAAAATTTCCAAAAAGTCCGCCCTTATGTTTTGGAAAAATCCTGTCGACTAGGTCGGGAAATTTTGGAAATTTTGGAAATTTTGGAAATTTTGGAAATTTTGGAAATTTTGGAAATTTTGGAAATTTTGGAAATTTTGGAAATTTTGGAAATTTCGGAAAGTTAGGGGAGAGAATTTTGGAAATTTTGGAAATTTTGGAAATGCTGGAATCTGTTCTATATATGACTCAAGTAAGATTACTGTGTAGTGCTTACTATGTAGTGTATCAGCACAACCCTCATCCATACACGTGTGCTCTGTAATTCCTTTCTTGGTAGGACACCCGCGCGCCTTGTCGTGCTAGTCTCCGCATCGGACCAGATTACTTGCAAAGGCAAGGGCTGTCAATACTCATGCCCATATTTACACGAATATCTCTCTATCTATCTGTATATCTATATATACATATATGTATTGATACTCCTACATATAGTATTGCCATTGAACATACTGACATTGATCATTTGTTGAATGCTCAAGCTAATACCAGCATTACTACTAATATTACACTTCTATAAAGCTTAGTACGAATATGCATAACACAAATACTAAGATTGATTAGTATTGCTCTTAGTACTCCTACGCATATCAATAACCATATTCATATTGATAATAATGTATAATAATACCAATACTAACACACACCTGTATGTACTAATGTACATAAACATGCATACCACCATATTAAAATACAAATCCTTTAACTCACTCATGAATTCAACTGTTAGAATTTCACGTGGTCAAGAGTAATAACAATACAAACATTCTTTCGAATGTATATCATCAATAATATGATAGTACTAACGCTAACACTACTGCTAATACTTAACACAAAATCTATACTAACATCAATATTTACATAGCTATTTATACTCCTACGAATACGAATACGTAAACCCTTGTGCGTTAACAGTAGTGCTATCACCAACACTAATACGGACTTTGATAATCTGCTGCATATTCAAGAATGCCACTAGTATTACCAGCATGAACACTCATATTATGGCTATTACGAGTATAAATAGTCCTACTTCTACTAGTATTGACATTAATACTCCTACGAATACCAATAGTATATTCATATTGATATGAAAACTAATACCATTACTAATAGACACCTGCATATACTCATGTACATAAAATACGTACCACTATCTTAAGATACAGATATATACATCAGTGCATTCATGTATTAATGCTTTGGCATAGGCATATACCCATATACCAATGTATCAATATACTTCTCGTTGTTGTATGAATATACTATACGAATATGTGACTATAATCATATACGGCTACTGCACTATGCAAGAATACCGACATGACAAGTTCGTATACTAATATGCCAACATACTGATATACTTATACATGATTAGATAAAACAGTAATATAGTACACATATTCGTACACTAATATGCTAACGTACGAATATACTGGTATGTCAATATACTAGTAAGCTAATACAGCAGTATAGTAGTGTAGTCATGCACCAGTTGTACTAACATGTAAAATATACTAGTATACAAGTATGCAAATATTTTGCTGTCCGAATACATTGATGTATTGATATACTAATCTGCTAATATACGAGACTATCAATATACTAACATATCAAAACTAACTAGTTCTAATATTGATACTAATACTAGCACTTCTGCGAATATAAGCTGCTGTTAAACCCAGCATTAAGACTGATACTGATACTACTCGTAGCAGTGGTGCTGTATTACTGACATTGACACTGGCACTAGCGCTAACTCTAACACGAACATGAGCACTAACACTAATTTATAGTTGGCAATATTGATACGTGTACTTACAGCAAGCAATAGTACTAATATTAACAACAATACTCACCCTAATACCGATACTACCACAAGACTATTACGTAACTAATGTGCCGCACGTCTGGTGCTATACTATATACCTCATGTAACGGTTTTGCTTCACAGAATATCGTTGTGCACGGTGTTTTTTAGACCCGTGGTCTGTCACCGGGGGGGGGGTGAGCATTTATTTCTAGGTGTCCTGAGAGACAAGGTCGAGTTATACAGCGCTCGTTATTTCGTAGCCTCCATCCCTAGAGTTTGAAATATACCTTAGATCGGACACTAGTTAACAGTACGTTGCTGTGTCTTGTTCTCTGGGGATGTGCATATGGTCAACCTTGAAGTGCAATTACAGCGTTGGGTTGTGTAATTAGGGATGAGCCTTATGGCCCACTGCAACATACCGCACGACGTAGTTCCAACCTCTCCTCAAAGTTGCATACGACTCATACGACATCCTGAAGGCAATCCCCAGACACCAGACGCTGGAGTCAAACAGAACTTTCAACCCTACATCCTAACCCCTCGACCTGGCACACGTCGTACCCGAAACCTTAAGTTCCGGCTCCCTTACCGAACGACGCGAGTCGCATAGTAACTCAGCGCTCCAGGTCTACTCGTCTGCTTCACGTCATGCGATCAGCGACGTGGCCGCTAGTGGAATGTCATGTTGGGGGCTTGTAGTTTTGGGTCAAGCATAGGATCCTTGCCCTTACCTCTGTATTGATTACGGTTAGTATTTCAGAATCCTGGCTATCAGAATCTTTTTCTGTGGGACACTGTCAGAACTGCTGCTTTCCAGAGTGCGATTACAAATACACTGCTCTGAATGTTTCTCCAGTGGGGCTATGAACATGAAATGGTTCTGGCAGTAGTGCAGCCACAGTCATGAACTTCTTAGACGTCGTAATGCTCATGGACGGTAGAGCACATTCATCTTCAAAACTCATCAGGGTCGCTCAGCTTCAAGCAAGATCAAGCAAAATCCATTTTAGACGGAAGTGCAAGCCGTGCCCCACACGCCCTGACTCAGATACCCCAAAAATCTGCGGTTTATTGGGGTCGGATCCTGCCTAAAACCCTAGAACCCTAGTCCCTAAACCCTAAACTTGCCCGAAACCCTACCATCAAGGTGCCATCTTCTCCGGATGGTGCCTAGGATATTTTCATTTCGAAGGCTCACCTAACGTCCTTAACCCAACACCCTAAACTCTAAACACACATGCACACAGACTGGAATGATGGTTTGATTTGCTCAGTATACCCTTTTCTAATTATGCCCAGGCCCAGACGAGGCGCGGCAGCAGGACCGGACGTCTAAGGGCAGAGTCTGTGAGGCGGGTGTTGTTCTTGGGCCCCTGTGGGGGTGCTATATTAAGGGCGTTAGAGCTTAGGGCTTGTATGTTGGTTCCCTGAAGGCTTCCAGAAGGGATTCCAGTACTTCTTCATTAGGGGCGAGTGGGATTCATTATGGGGCTACGAATCAGAAGCATACTTGACGTAGTGCCAGCAAATGATTTAGAGGGCACAGGGTCGCTTTTTAAGTTTGTTGGTGTTGGGAAGGTTACGAAAATCAAGATGAAAATTCAGAGTTTGGAGTGGTTGACATCGGTTGAGGGCGGTTTGACGAAAGGTCGTTGGCGCGCAGGCATCGCGAATTCCTGCAAGGAGAACACACGTTTCACGATGAGGGTAGCCTCCCTCTGCCCCGCCAGTAAGTGTACCAGGCCTGCTTTGGACCCCAACATTACTCTCTAAGGCAGGACCCTGATTAAGAAACCCTGGGACGATTAAGCTTCCTAATATGAGTCCCAATTGCAGGGGCTAGGGTTTCTTGATCAGGTTCCTACATCAACAGCAATTCACATCTGTTGCTGCCAGCATGGCGAGTGGCTTCATGGCACACCTGCAATTGCTGTCCTACTGGGGCACGGTCATCTTTTGTGAGAAGGCTTCGGAATGAAAGTAAGGATGATGGGTGGAACCATGATGATGACGAGGATGGTTATGATGATGATGATGGTGATGATGATGATGATGATGCGCCTGCTCGAAGTCAGGGGTCCGTAACACCACGAATAGTATGATCACATCAGACAGACTCCTCGAGATCTGTATGACATTCATTCCCGTATGAAGCCCTAGACAACTGTATCCTCCCAAACAAGCTCCTGAATCTTGAAGCCTCAATCCTGGGCCTATAGACTTAAGGCGCAAAACCTCCCTTAACCCAAAACCTGGGTCCAACACCCTCGAGCTTGCGTAGGATCTCACCTACCTGTTTCAGACCGCAGTGCTGTCCAGAAACACCAAGGTGCCGGATTTTTTGTCGTTTACAGCCTTGATTCCTTCTGTTTGGGGTTTTATGGTGCAGGCTTGTGAGGTTGTCTTTGAATGGGTGCACGAGATGTAAATCAGGGTTCCAGGACGTATGTTTATGGTTTGACAGAGTTTGGGGCTTCGAGTTTTGGCGTCTAGGCCGCTTTCAAAGTAGGCTCCCTCCAAACCCGAAACGTATCCCCCAAGCTGCGCTTTCCGATGTTTCGGGGGAAATGCTCCAGCTGTTGCGATTGCCTGGGTTCTGTTGAGCCATGACTAAAACTGAATCTGAATACAGAGGACGTAACTGGGAAAGCTTACCTAGGTGGAAGTTTGGGAAACTTTTTAATTTCCCTTATGGTTCCTATAGAGGTACCTATTCATAAATATTTTTCAGAGCCCCAAAACTACAACCCAAAAATAGGGTTTGTTATGTCAAAATCGCTCCTCTGGTAGCTTGTTTCACGTCAAGTCCTGAAGCAGAGCCCATCTTCGAAAAGGTTGCTTTGTCCGAAGATCCTGTGGTTCATTCTTAGAGTTCAGTGTTTAGCGAGTCGGGTCAGTAGTTCTAGAGCCGTTTCAGACATAGCAGCTTTACTTTATGCCAAGAGAAGCTGCAGCAACAGTCGCACAACCAGAATCGCCATCCAATTTTCATCTCTGATGATGAAAACAGCCGAGAACCTTTATTCCTGTACAGTAGAAGCCGGAATGTTGGAATATCATTATCGTAACCCCTTTTCAGGTAAATTATAGGGGATCCTACCATTAATCCATATTCCAACTTTCTGGAGTTCCCTGTAAACTCCAAGTCCACTATTCCAGAGACTTAAACCCGAGACTCAAAACCCTCGAGACCGCAGACCCCCCCTGAACCTTAAAACTCTTTAGTCCAAACCCAAAAGCCCTGAGCCCAAACCGAAGACCGTAGACAACCTAAGCCTCAAGCCCTAGAAAAGTTGAACCTAAAGACGTTTGTTTATTGAGCATCTGCGATGGCTGCATTGCAGTGTTGATAGGGTTGACTGCGAGTTTTCGGGTGTTCAAGATAGTGAACTTTGATATCTGGACTAAGGTTTCGGTGTAGACGATCATCCTCTAACTAGGTCACGCGCCCACCAGGACCCTGGTAGCGATGTGAGGTACGAATTTCAATATTGCCTAGGGAAAAAGCTAATTTCGTAGCTAAAATGGGTTTTGAAAAAGCCCTAAAAACTATTAACGACCTGAACCGACAAGTGAAGTTGAAGCATTGTAAGTCCTAAAACTTGCGGCCAAGGCAGGGAGCTCTGGGGCTTAAGGTTCTGGGCATCGTACACACAAATGTAAGGGTCGCCGATATATGTTCATGCGTATGTAACTTCCTATGTGGTATTCATGACATATAAAGCATAGACGGCACATACAACATGAAATTACATCAGAGACTCTAAAGGCATTTTAGGCACATACTACATATAAGACACAACACATGCACCAGGCGGAGACTACATGGAACACTTGCACAGTGCCCAAAATGCCTCATGAGTCTCTGATGAAAAGCATGTTGTATGTGCCTTCTAGGTCTTATATGTCATGAACACCACATAGATCTCAAACGTTACATAGACATGAACATTTGTCGACGACCCTTGCATATGTGTGCGACCCTTACATCTGTGTGCGGTCGTAGAACGTCGTCACTGCCCCCCCCCCCCCCCCACCCCACCCCCTAAAGCATTGCTATCCCCGAAACCCCCCAAAACAGCAGCTTAACACCAGGGACCCGGCGCGCGCGCCACCAACTACTTTTTCCGGGGATTCCAAGGAATACTATCGCTACATATTCGTACACCCGTCCACAACCCTGTAAAAGTTTCGTGAAACCGTATGCCAGCCTTAGCCTTGAAGTAGACTAGGTATGTTTGTCATTTCGGTGCTACAGAAACCAGTCTATAATTCCAAAAGTTTAAACCTCTAAATCCCCTAGGAATCTGGCAAGTAAGTCAAAGAACCATACTCTTGCGACTCATACCTTAGGGTTTCATGTTTTGAGAAATTCGATGGTTTCGGGTTCCTTGGAGGGTTGAACTGAGGAGTTAGGGTTCTGGGTTTAGAGTTTTAAGTATTCAGGGTTGCGAGTCAGGGTTTAGGGAGCTCTCACCTTGTGTGCATGGCTTCATGGTATCATCGCGTGTGTTCAGGGCTCAGGCCTGCGAAAAGCTAGCAGTTTTAGGGTTTACATAGCGGCAGCCGTGCAGAGGAGATCAACTGCCCCCCCCTCTCCTGCACCAATGGTATTCGCTGCGATCCTTACGTTCGCACCATGACAGAGTGCATAGAACCCTTGTAGAAAGCCGTTTAGAGCCTCCCTAGCACCCTTAAAGGAACTCTTGCGGCAGTCAATGTTGAACCCTAAAGATCCAATTCAAACGCCTTGCAGGTGTCGGACCGTTTTCTCGAGCTCCGTGCGGATGTGAACCTTCGCTCAGGGTTGGGGTTACCCTAATTATGAGGCCCCAAAGTAGTTCCTTTTGGGGGTTCATAATATGTAGAATCCTATAAGGTAATCCCAAAAAGGAACTACTTTGGGGCCTATGCTTAAGGTAAGGCTCAGGTTAATATACATAATATAGATATATAAGGCCCTTACTAGTAGCCCTATTATAGACTGTTACTGTATGGGGGCCGTACCCAAGGTTAAGGCTAAGGTTGAGGGTTTCGGGTGCTGAGTTTAGTTTCCGGTCGAAGGCTCGAGGGCTACTAGAAAGCACCCTGAAGCCTAAACCCCAAGCCTAGACCCTAAACACCTGAACCCTAAACCCCTTAGACCCGAAACCCCAAGCCCCTAAACCCTAAACCTCTTAGACCCTAAACCCGTAAATCCTCCCTACCTAGTTGTAATTTCAACCCTACTGATCTTAGCAAGGCTGGGTTTCGAGCCCTTATTTTCTGAACCCCAAAATAAATCGTGGCTCCTTTTAGGGTTTCGAGGGTTTCGGTTGGGTTCCTTTTAGGGTTTGTTTAGGATTTAGGGTTTCGTTTGTGGCGTAGGCTGGTAAACTTTGTATTTTCTTAATGGTTTAGGATTCTCTGGGTGGGTGGGTGGGTGGGTGGGTGGCTGGCTCGATCCGGAGCTGCTGAACCCAAAACTCTACAGGGCACTACCGTGGTCGTATCGCATGTCAGCAAATCAGAGCAGAATTCCCCGAAGGTAAAGCCATTAGTCGTAACATTCCACAGTCTTATTGGTAAACCACTGTGGTGCAAAATCCCTTTACCTTGAATTTGGAATAGTGCAGTTCGCAGTGCGCATCTGATGTTCCAGCGGAGTTGGTGTCTTGGGAAGTGTTGCCAGAGTCGACTCGTTGTTGTTCTGTTGGCGTCGATGTTGTCGTCGTCGCGGAATCCTAGACGGTTTCGGGATTAAATCTTATTCAAGGATGCCCAGTAGTACCCTTATTCCCTTTTTGTAGTCCTAGGTTCGTTATAAAGTTACCCAATACCAAAAAGAGAGGCCTTTTTATTCTTAGGTTACTGGGTATCCTAGTTATTCCCAAGCTCTCAGGAACTTTGTGGATGACAGCGGCCAGACGCCTCTCCACAGTGTTGCGAGCATGGGCACAGGGCCGGGATGCCTAGGGGCTGTACAGTACAGGTTTGGGGTTTAGGGTTTAAGTTTAGAGTTTTGGGTTTAGGGTATAAGGCTTTCGAGTTTGCGGTAAGGTTTCGAGTTCTTGAGCTGTTGGCGTCTGAGCTCCGATCTAGGAATTTGGGCGCCCCCTCTGAGCCCAATGAACTTAGATAGCTACTGGGAAGACCTAATTTTTGTTTGTCGGTTCAGGTTTTAGGGTTTATTCTTGGAAAGTTTGACTCTTTTCGGCCGGGTTACTGAGGAGAGGGCGAAAGCAGTGCTGATCACATGTCACGGCTTTGCCAAAGTTGTCTCGGCTTTGACCTGGGGTTCCGGAGTAGATTATACTACGAAGCATGCGGCGACAAAACTACAATTCCGGCTTCTTTCGATGGCTACGTGATGATGTCAGAAGGGTGAGGTTTCCAATTGGGTGACCGGTTTCGGGTGAGTAACCTTCAGCCCATGTGATCCAGGGTTGCATTCTCTAGCATCCCCGTTGTAGCGCCCCCCCCCCCCCCCAATACGTACACACGCACACCTGTATTCGAAAGGAGCTCTGTATGTGCGATCTTTTTCCAATCCTACTGCTTATTATCCTACCATTGTAAAAGCTTTCGTCTGTTGTTGCGGCCGGGAACTCAGGATCTTGGCAGCGCTTCGACTTTTCTCAGTTCTACCTTAAAACAATGCCCAAACCGATTTTTGTAGGGTCGCTAATTTTTTGTTAGGGTTCGTCAATTGAATCTTAAAAAACTAGACCCTATTGTAGGGTTCAGAATTTGAATTTATAGAAAAGATCGTAGGTCAAGGTTCCCTTTCTGGGGATCAGGTTTTGCGGTTACGTATAGGTGTTCTCTAACATGCGCTGTCTCATGACGGTACGTCGTTTTGGGTACAAGCAGAGAATGAAACTTGTTTCGTAGACCCGGAAACCTCGGAATCCGAAACTTCCCCGCACCCGACATCCAATAGCCTTATGGAAAGCTTGTACCCCTGATGCCCCTAAGCCTTTCCACAACGTCCGTCTCATCTAGACACCAAACTGGTAGGATCGTTCTTGCCAGGACCCGACCCCCCCCCCCCCCCCCCCGGCTAAACACAAGCATCCCTGATGACACGGAGGTTCTGAAACCTTCAGACAAGTACCTAAACCCCTAGACCCCTAAAGCCCTAAACCCCTAAAGCCCTAAACCCTAAGCGCTAATCCCTAAACCCCTAACCCCTAAACCCCTAAACCCCTAAACCCCTAAACCCTAAACCCCTAAACCCCTAAACCCCAAACCTCTAAAGCCCTAATCCCTAAACCCCTAACCCCTAAACCCCTAAAGCCCTAATCCCTAAACCCCTAAATCCTTAAACCCCAAACCCTAAACCAAGTACCGCAAGCCCGAAACTCCCGAGCTCCTCGCAGGTGGGAAGACATGGTCGAGCACCTTAGCTGCTTTCTCACACCCAAAGGGTCCCCAACGGTTGATGATATAAATCCTGCAATACCCATAATAAGGAATATACCATAGTTCCCATAGTTTAGGGTCCTTAAGGTAATGCAGGATATATATCATCAACCGAAGTACCATCATAGTAGGTACTTAGTAAGTATTTGGGCCCCCCAAAGTATATACTAGACTATTACTTGGACCCTTTCTCACGGCTCTGGATTAAAGAAAGATCGAGCACTTACCAATTCTGTTTTTCAAGGGTTGGGATTATTGTTATGTTCTTAAGGGTTGGGGGGATGATGATGATGGTGGTGATGATGATGATGACTTCTATTTAACAAGGCCACTATTAGAGTACGTCACAGGAACTAGGGGCTTCCGCATTTGCTGGTCGTCGGGTTTAAGAGCTTACGGACTTCAAGCATGAGGGTTTAGAGCTTCAGGTTGTGGACACCCTCAAAATTTAGGCTTTCAGGTTTGTGGCACCCTTAGGGTTTAAGGTTTAGTGCACCCTAGGCCCTACACTCTAAATCACATCTCTTGCCGCTGCTGTTCTGTTGCATGTTGGAAAGTCCGAAGCTGTACCATCGAAGCTTCTTAGTTGAGTCATCAGGTCTCCTGAGCTGGGTGGGTGGGGTGGGGATTCTAACCCTGAACCCTTGCAAAACCCTAAGAAGCCCTTTTCAGCTCCTTAGTTACAAACACCTTCTAGATAGAAGTTTCATACGAACTCTCCAGAAACCCTATGACTCCCTTGCAGCAATATTCAAGAGCAAAGTACAGCCTGCAGAGAACCGCATAGAACCCTGGTGCAAACTCTAAAGAACCTTCATAGTACTTTCAGAAAACTCTTACAGCGCCCTTATAGAACTGCATCCAGGACAGCCTGTTCAAAGCCCTCAAAGCACCCCCACTTGAATCATCAAGGCCCCTGTTTTTTCAATCTGCTTCGAAACCCTGAAACCTATACCCGAAGTCCCGTACAAAGCACCTGGAGAACTGCATCCAGGTACTTGCTCGAAGCTCGGGCCAACATGGATGCAAAGGATTCGCAGGGCCAGACCCCCCTGGCCCCTCGGCAGTAACTAGAAAGTGTTCTGGGGTGTAGTATAGCTTCTATAAGGGTTCTAGAGGGGATCTATGGGGGCTTGAAGCTTTTAGGGCTTGAGGGTGTGGGTTGAATTGGGGTTTAAGGTTCAGTGTCAGATGACCCTTCGCCCTCCATGATGGCTACGGTTTGCGCCCTCGGGTTCACGGGCAGATCTCTTGGCTTCGGGGAAACGGAAGGTCTTGGTTGCAGGGTATCGGCTTTCAGCGATAGCCAGCCTGAAACTCACCTCATGTTCCTGCAAGAAGGGTTCTTCTGCTTTCGGAAGAGTCACTGCTTTTGTTGTCCGGGCACTCTATATTCTATATGCTTCGATGTGGTCATGCGTTCCCCTGCCTCTCAGCGCCCTGCACTGGACCCCCAACATGCCAGCATAAGCCTCTGTGCACCTCAGCAATGCTAACCCTGAACAACCCTGAATCCCAAGATAGGCGAACAATAGGAAAAAACAGACTTCCAAGAACCCTATAGCTTATACCTTATTCCCCACACTAGACCCCAGAAGAACCCCAAAACGAGCTTTGCACCTAAATCCTACATTAGACCCCAGGATGCAAAGCCTAAGCTACCCTAAACCCCAAACCCTAAACCCTAAATAGGTTTAAAGGGAACTCCAGAAAGTTGAAATATGGATTAATGGTAGGGTCCCCTATAATTTACTTCAAAGGGGTTACGATAATCATATTCCAACTTTGTGGCTTTTACCTTATGGTATTATGTACGAGGTGCCCTAAACCCTAAACCCCAAACCCTAAACCCTAAGCCCCAAACCCTAAACCCTAAACCCCAAATAGGTTTATGGTATTATGTACGAGGTGCAGGCCTCCAAGCTCGGCAGTGATAAGATGGTGCTCCCCGGCCTACGATGTAGACTTTTGTAGGGGCTACAGCTTTGGGGGTTTAGGATTTAGGGTTTAGGGTTTAGGGTTACGATGTAGACTTCTGTAGGGGTTACAGCTTTATTAGGGGGTTTAGGATTTAGGGTTCAGGAGTGTTCCAAGGGGCAGGAGCATTCAGGCTACAGATGTTCTTTATCTGTGTGTTGCTGTACTTCACGGTTTCATGCGCTCTTCTACGTTTGGCTGAGATTGCCCAGCCATGTGGGTGGTTGTCCAAATTATGGTCCCTTTTTGGGTCCTTATTATAGTACGGCACCTATTTTTTAGGGTACCCAAAAAGGGATCCTAATTTTGACAACCACCCATGTATGCTAGGTGCTCTACTGCAGTGTCGGTGCATGAGCCCCAAGGATGCCTTCAGGTACGGTTGATGATTTAAATCCTTCATGACCTATAATCAGGAATATACCATAATTCCCATAGTTTAGGGCCCTTAAAGGTAATGCAGGATTTATATCATCAACAGCATAACGGTAGTAGTGTAGGGAGCCTTTAACCCTTTTGAGGTGATTGCTGCAATCCCTATAATCAAACTCCAAAGGTTTGGGTACTAGATAAGTAAGACCATCTACGATTTCTAGCCGTGTTTTTCTATTACTCCCGAAATACTGCGGCCACCTGTAACATGGGGACCTGCATGATTCTGAACATGAGAACATGCTTCTTCAGTTTTCCGACGTACGCGTGCGATGAAAGGCTTTGGGCACGACATGTACTCGCCGAAAATGATTAAGGTTCAGTTACTTAGATCACTAGGGCTGAAGCCCTACACTCTGTACTTCTGTGGGAAACAACAAGATTGCAGGGTGCAACCCTTGCAGAGCCTTTGCGGGCATGTCAAGAACCATTGCTACAGTTGAAGGCAGGGGTCGGAACAATTGGCAAGAATATTGCCTTGATAGTTCCAATCTAGCTATACTCTAAAACACCTCCACCCCCATTCTAAGTCTTATTAGTAAGGCCCCTGTTTCACACAAAGCACTTACGTTTTAAAGCTCTTACCATCCTCAAGTCTCAGCACCGAACCCAATTTAGGCCTTTAGTTTTAGGCTTCTGGGTGAAATCCCGTGGCCTTCATGCCTCAACACCACTAGGTAGACTCAAACCTTCAAGTCGTGAAACCGCACCTGGACCCTAGAAAACCTCCTTGTTTAGCTATCCATGTTACAACTTCCTGGTAACAGTCCTTAAAAAGGTCAGAAATTTGGGATTCAGGCAAACCTCATCACCGAAGCCTTGATGCCCCAGCTGGCACATAATGTAGGAACCTGATTTAGAAACCTGGGTCCTGCAATTCCAACATATTAGGATTCACATAAACAACTCAATAAAGACCCCAAGTTCCTTAACCAGATTCCTACAGTACCCGACAGCCCTATGATGCAACACATAAGAGCTTGTCCAAGCGTGGACGATCATGGGACTTTAGCAAGGAAGGTCGTACGCAGCTTAACCGGGGCTGTGAGGAAATTCGAGGGATAAAGTTGTAAACTTTACGACCCTGCTTACCAAGTCGCCTGCTCTTTTATCGCACCGAACACTCTCGTAAGCCTGAAGCGTTGGTCAAACCCTTAACCAAGACTCCAACTCCTAAACCCTGCACCCCTGCACTTTGAAACCGCAACAATCAACTCCAAAGCACTAAACTTTAAACCTCAAACCCTAAGTAAAACCCTGAGCACAACGGAGCCCTAACCCTCATGGATCTTTATGAAACCCTGATAAATACTGATAAAGCTTGACCGTAAACCTCAAACAACCCGAACCCAGACCCAAACCCCAACTCAAATCCTTAAACCTTAAACCCTCTAAAGCCGTTCTCAACCCGAAGCATTTCAGGATGTTTCTTGCATCGTACAAGTCGGATCCCCATGCCACCAGCAGCCTGGCCTTGCACATGCGGGGAAGAGCAGTTCACAAACAAGGCCCTAAATCCACAACCCCTCAAACTTCTAAGCCCTATACCCAAACCCCCAAACCCCTAAACCCTAAACCGCCAAACCCACAACCCCCTCAACTTCTAAGTCCGACACCGGTCCTATACCCAAACACCCCAGACCCCTAAACCCTAAACCGCCAAACCCACAACCCCCTAACCTTCTAAACTCTAAAGCCTAACCCGCCAAGCCCCTGAACCCTAAACCGCCAAACCCGCAACCCCCTAACCTTCTAAACCCAAAAGCCTAACCCCCCAAGCCCCTGAACCCTAAACCCCCAAACCCACAACCCCCTAAACTTCTAAGCCCTACGTGGGTTTTTAGGAGGGAGATGCTGCATTCTGGGTTTTAATAGGGGAAGAAGGAAGGAACCTCACATGGACCCTAAAGGTCCAACGTACCTAAGCCCTATACCCAAACCCCTAAACCCTAATCCGCCAAACCCACAAGCCCCTAAACTTCTAAGCCCTACACCCAAACCCCCCAAACCCCTAAACCCTTAACCGCCAAACCCACAACCCCCTAACCTTCTAAACTCTAAAGCCTAACCCCCCAAGCCCCTGAACCCTAAACCGCCAAACCCACAACCCCCTAAACTTCTAAACCCAAAAGCCCAACCCCCCCAAGCCCCGGAACCCTAAGCCCCCAAACCCACAACCCGTGGCCTGCATGATTACAGGGCTTCGATAAGGTCTCTAGGGGGTTTCTATGATGGATTTGTCGAGAAGGGCTCTGTGGGCAGGCTGGAAGCGCTAGATGAGGTTCTAGAAAGTTCTACAAGGATCCCACAGGGGCTTCGCAAGGCTTCTTAGGGTTTAGGGGTTTAGGGGTTTAGGGATTTTAAAAGGTTCTGTCAGGGGTTTAGAAAGGCTCAAAAAGCACGCTGGAAGGGTACAAAAAAAAGATGTGACCAGGATTCCAGAAGCGTTCTGTAAGGTCTAAGACACCGCAACTGTGGTCTTTTAAGCCCCAACCATGGTTCTGAATCCCCAAGCCCAAACTTCCGCTTTGTACCTCCAACCCTGAACCCCTAAAGCCTCCCAGCACTGAACCCTGAAACCCTTAACCCAAGAGTCCTTGTGAGCTTTTCTATCGAAGCCTGAACGATCACCAGTACTATGACCATAGGGTGCTCAAAATGTGCCCCACAACCTTCTCCTACTGACGAAGGCTTGATTAAGACCCGGCAATATCAACCCTTGCGCCCTCTGGAATAGGCATTTGGAGTCTTGCATCTTGCCACGAAATCCTCCAGGGCTAGCTGAGGTTCTTATCAACCGACAGTTGCAAGAAGGATTGGGGAAAGGAGGCTTCATGGAGAAACGGGAACGTAATGATGCTCATGGTGCTCGCTTGCCGGCTTCACAGGGAACCTAATGATGCTCATGATGCTTGCTTACCGCTTTGAACAACTGGTGACAGACGCAAGGAGCTGCCCTGAGGCATTCCGATCTCCATATGCACGTGCTTTGGGAGACGCTACAAGCTCCCACTTTGCAGCAGCTGCCGACGGATTTGCTGAACATGGCGGATGCATGCTCGCGCTGAAAGAGCTAGACATGCATCATCGTCGTGGGAGCCCTACTCGGACCAAATCTCGGCACCGTGTTTGCCAAGAAAGCAAAAGCCCGTAGCGGCAAGCCAAATGCGCAAAGTTTTCGACACCATGTCTCACTGTCGCGATTGTTTTGTACGCAAGTCTGCGAGCCTCTGCCAGTGGCCCTATGTAGCTTTTCGTCCCAATCCCTCCTCCCCAAGTTTAGAGTTTCAGGCTCAGTTGGGCGGAGGATTTGGGTGAAGGAGTTTGGCAAATTGGGGTCTGATTGCTTATAGGGCCTAGGCGGCCTATTGTCGTTTCAAAGTTGCTTTAGGAGTTCCTTTCAGGGTTCCGTCGACGTTTAGAGTATTAGGCCTGGTGTCGGGTTGTATGGAGTTTATGCGTTTGGAGATCAGTTGCTGCGGGAGTTGCGGGATTTCGCTGTAGGCTGGTCTAGTACTATATGCAGGGATTGGAGTCTCAGTAGTGTGAGGTTTGGGGTCTCAGGCTTTGAGTTTAGGTGTAGGAGTTTGGATTTCAGTTTAGAGCAGTTTAGAGCTTCAAGGCCGTGTAGGGTTTAGGGGCGATTGGATTTTGAGATTTTGATTTTGGTTCCATGGCACGAAGCCTTTTTGGGTTTAGGGGTGTTAAGAGGTTTCGGGCTTTGGGGTTTCGGTTGTGTTGTCCTTGTGGATCCAAGGCCGGGAAGTTGCAGCGGTGCAGATGGCCTGTCACAGAAAGTCGCCGGACATGTTGGAATGTGCCCACGGCTTGGTTCAGAAAGCCTTAAAGTCCTATTCCCTGAACCCTTTTGCAGGGAGGCTGTGGGGTTTAGCGAGTTGCTCGGCGCACGGCTGCAAGCCTGGCGCAGCAAAGTTCCAGCTACAAATTAGCTCGGCACTGCGGATCTGCGTTATAAGGACCCCAGAGTAAGATGCCCCTACTGAAGAGTGGGATTTCGATTTCGATCATGGTAGACTTTTCAGAGGCTGCCATGGCTTCTGAGCTGAGGGCTCAGGGCTTTTGGGTTTGGGCTCCAGGCGTTTCAGGGTTTGAAATTTGAGCTTTGCGCCTCTGCGGTTCAAGGGTTCAGGGTTTTTTGGGGTGCGAGGCTTCGGGGTTTAAGTTTCAGAGTTTGCTCAGGTTGCCTGGTCTTCTTGCTGAGGCTGCGACTTCATAAAACTCTGAAACCGAAAGCCCAAGCCTTGCACACGGCTTAAAGCTTCACCGCAAGTCCTTCAGCCCCAAATCTTTATGCCATCACAGGTGCAAAGCCTAAACCCTAAACCGAGTCTAGACTCGGATAGTTATTCTTGTTGATGCCTTGCCTGGCTATGCCGTCATGCCCTACGCGCAAAGGATGCTAAGACTAAACTCTAAGCCCTAAACCCTTAAGCCTTAAACACTTAACCTCTGAAGCCCTGAACCCTTAAAGCCGTAAGCCCGAAACCAAACTCAACATGTCTCAATCCGAAACTTCAAGGAAGGCCAGTCGGGTTTTGATTTTGGGGTTTGTTTATGAGTCTAAGCCCTACAGCGGCATAACATATAGCGGATAACTACAATTTCCGGGTATATGCATATTAGCGTGTTCATGAAAACCCGCAGGAATCGTATGGGCGAGCATCCAGGCATCTACATTGCATCCTACAGCCCTATGATTACGAGACGCGCTGGCGGTAGCGCAACCGCTTAACAAAACGTGGCCGCGAGGCGTCCTTAGAGTGGGTGTAGACAAGGCGAAGTCAGCCGAGAAGGACCCACGTTAGGGGCGGCTGAGGATGATTAATCAAAGGGGAAAAGGAGGGACCCTTAATGGGGACCCTTATATAATCTATAATGGCCTATATAATGGGTATATAATGGCTATATTACGGGTATATACCTAGGGGTCCTTATTAAGGGTCCCTCCTTTTACCCTTGGAGATTAAATGAGAATTTCGCAATTAGGGCTTTTAGCGGTGCACTGTGAGGCGTTAGCTTCGGGTTCAGAGATTTACAAAAGCTTGAGATTTTGGGCTGAAGATTTCAAGGTGAAGGATTCACGGATGTACGCTTTTGTTCTGGTTTTGTATTCCCTTTGCATTTTCACAGTTTTAACGGTTGAATTCGTTAGGACACTAGACAAGTTGAGATGACATAGGCTTGCACCACAAAGGCTTTCAGTATGATTCAGCCTGCAGCAGCAAGCGACAGTTCCTTCGTAGACACTAAGGCCCAGCTTATCTGAACCCTAATCAACTTCAACCTTAGCCCAGACCCCCCAACTACCCTCTGTTAATTATATCCCAAATACCTAGTTTCAAGGACCACAAGGCCTCCATAACAGGGCCCTTGCGAGGTCCTGAAGACTCTGAATGCGCACGGGGGTTTCTAGTGTCTGGGCACTATTGGGGAGACATGCAGTCACAGAAGTTTCAACCACTTCACAGAAAACCCTAAACCCCTAAACCCCTAAACTCCTAAACCCTGAACCCTGAAACCCTAAACCCCTAAGCCCTAAACCCTAAACCGTGCCCGAGGAGTTGCACGCTCTGCACATTGCATCTGCAAATGGCCTGGAGCAAGCGGTCAGCTGCCTCCTAGAGGTCCTCGGAGTGCTAAATGGGAGTTTTCGAAGAGGTTTTCGGAGTGCTAAATGGGAGTTTTCGAAAATGAGGGGTACCGTATTTTGGGGTCCCTACATATAATAAGGATCCTACTATTTAGGGTACCTTTTTTGGGGTTTTCTATTTTCGGAAACTCCCAAATGCCCGAAACCCTTGCAAAGCCCGAAGGCCCAAAATCCTAATCCCTGAACCTAAACTAAACCTAAACTTTAAGTTATCAACCCTGGAACTTCTTACTCTAAACCCCAAACTCAGGAACATGAGCAAAGGCCTTCACACCCGAAGGGTTTGAGTGATGTAGGGGCCTTAAGAGTTAGAATAGGGTTTTGGAGGTTCCTTATTAGAACTATATAGCATAATATGCCTAAAAACCGTTTTCTCATTATTAAGGCCCCTACATTACTCGAACAGTACTCTCCCGGACGGCAAGTTAGAACCACCCTTGTCGCCCCAGTTTTGCTCGGGCGTCGTTTTGCTTTCTCGGGCGCCGCTTTCCCCGAGCAGCAAGTTAGAACCAGAAACGTCGCCAAAGGAAGTTAGAACCACCCTGCTTCAACAGCTGTTTCTGAAACTTGTTCCAGATATTTTGCTGAGTTTTCACAGCTGGCCGCCCACGGCAGGGAAAGTTAGAACCACCCCGTGCCGCCCCGTAGGCGGTAAGAGTATGCCACACGTTGAATAGTTTTTTCCAGACATTTTGATCAGTTTTTACACCTGGTGGCCCACGGCGGGGAACTTTAGAACCACCCCACACCGCCCCGTATATGCAGCGTACCACACCCGTACCGCCCCTTCGTACCGGCCCGCTCGTACCACCTCTATATACCGCCCCCTACCGCGCCTCCTTACCCCTACCGCACCGCACCGCCCCATACCGCACCGTACTGCCCCGTGCGGCCCCGCACCCTTCTGGGCCGCAGGAAAGTCGCCAAGGGAAGTTAGAGCCACCCTGCTTCAACAGCTGTTTTTGAAACTTTTTCCAGATATGTTACTGAGTTTTTACAGCAGGCGGCCCACGGCGGGGAAAGTTAGAACCACCCCGTGCCGCCCCGTAGGCGGTAACGGTATGCCACACGTTGAATACTTTGCCCAAACATTTTGATCAGTTTTTTTTACACCTGGCGGATCCTGGCGGCCCACGGCGGGGAAAGTTAGAACCACCTGTACTGTTGAAATCGACACTTTGGCTTCAAAGGCGGTCATTACACTAAGGACCCTCTGGGCACAGTACTGACTCTTGAGGGCCCTTGGACCCGGGAGTGTAGGATTTAATTAAGGTTTACGGTTTAGTGTGTTTGGTTTAGGGCTTCGGGTTTAGGGCTTAAGGTAAAAGCCAGAAAGTTGGAATATGATTATCCTAAACCCTTTATGGTAAATTATAGGGTATCCTACCCTGAAACCATATTCCAATTTTCTGGAGTTCCCTTTAGGGGGATGGGGTTCGAAGCGGTCTGTCTTTTGGTTCGCCTGGCAGATGGTTTCTTCGCTGCCCTCGAATGACACAGACCTTGGAGTCGTACTTCCTGGCTGAAACACCCCAGAATAAAGTGCTTTAAGAAGAACTACTTACATGCAATTCATCTCCTTCATCCTCACGGCCTACGGTATAGGTCATCTCACCAAACCTCATCTTGTTCCCTCAGCCCTGAATCCTACTCCCCAAATCCTGACCACTACTGCTCTACATGGCCAAGCACTCCAAGGGTAAAAGGAGGGACCCCTAATAAGGACACCTAAAGGTATATACCCATTATATAGCCCATTATAGGGTAGGGGTCCCCATTAAGGGTCCCTCCTTGTCCCCTTGGAAACACACTGCGCTGCAGGCCCGGACGGAACCAGACATCCGTACAAAAGCCGGTTTGACACCCCTCTACTTCGCCGCCGCCTGGGCACGTCTGGGCGTGGCCGACTGTCGCGTGGCCCTGTCGTAGGCTTTGAGTGTTTTGAGGGGTGTGGAGGGAAGCTGTTGATTAGGGTGTGTAATATAGGGGCCTTGATAATTAGAATAGGGTCTTAGGGCCCATTATACTATCATTTTCATAAGGAGCCCCCAAAAAGTATTGGTAATTATTTAGGCCCCTACAGTACGGCTTTAGGCTTTATGCTAGGGCTCGACACAAACCGGCAATGCATAAGTCCCAAACATACAGAACTTTGGACTTGGTCTCGGGATTGTCTGAAAGTCAGAGGTTGAGGGTTTCAGGTTTGAGGGTCTACGTAGGAAGGTTTGAGGATTTAACGGATCTGCAAGACCCTGCAGAAAAAACTGCTGCTCTAGGGAATGCTGCAGAACTGAGCATTCAGAGCTCTAGAACTACAGTTGGCTGACCAGTCCGTCAACAGAGAACCGAGGCAGCCAAACAAAAATCATAGCGGAGAATGATTCTTTTTCTGAATCCTGGGTTCACCAGTCCAGATTGGTGCGCACTGAATTCTGCGTAATTGAACACAGAGGCGAAAGCTTCCGAGAAAGGCAGGCAAACAAACCCCTAAACCCCTAAACCGGAACCCTGTACCCGGCATCCGAATTGGACGACCAGTGTTGACTTTGACCTCGAAGCCCTGCAGCCCACCCAAGTGGTGCATCGCCCTTAACTTCAAGGGCTGACCCCAAGGGCCCAAAGGTAGGTACTCGGCTTTAGGATAGTAGTTATGTAGGTTACGATTTCGGAGAGTATATGATTATTGGGTACTTGGACCCTTGCGGCTAGATTCGTGTCTAGCCCGTCAAACCATCACGGAACAGGCTAAACTCTAAACGCAAAACCTAAACCCTTGAACCTCACACCCCTACACCCCTCAATCCTACCCGCTTTAAACTCCGAAACCCCTAAGCACCAAAGCCCCTAAACCCATAAACCCTAGTGTAAATCCTAAACCCTAAACCCTGAATCCTAAACCCCTAAATACCCTAAACCCCTAAAGCCTAAACCCCAAACCCGAAACCCCAACCCCAAAACCCCTAAGCCCTGCACCCCGAGATCCGACACCCTTAGACACCCAAACTCTAGAAAGCCTGAACTGCCAAAATGAAGACGAATCCTATAAACCCCGAGACGCTGAAATTGAGAAGAATCCTAAACCCCTAAACCCCCCCTAAATCCCCCCAAACCCCTAAATCCCTAAACTCCTAAAGCCCCGTAGATCCGCTTTAGGGTCCCTTTAAAGGAACCCCTTTGAAGCCCCGTAGATCCTTTTTTGGATCCCTTTGAAGGAACCCCTTTAAAGAGCCCCGTAGATCCCTTTTTGGATCCCTTTGAAGGAACCCCATTTAGATTATAGATCCCTTTAAAGAAAACTCCTAAACCCCCGTATCGGATCCCTTTTAGGATCCCTTTAAAGGAGCCCCTTATAGATTATAGATCCCTTCAAAAGAGCCCCTTCCCAGACCCCCGGGAGGATCTAGAAAGTAGATCCCCTAATTTGGGGGCCTATACTACTAAGGGTACTTTGTAGGAACCCCCATTAAGGGATCTACTTTTTGGATCCTCCCGGGGGTCTGGGTATAGATCCCTTTAAAGAATCCCACTGTGTCGCCAAGGCCTGCTCGCTGCTGCAGCAGAGATCGACGCTGCGGCCTCGAACGGTTGGACGCCTTTGCCGCATGGCTTGGTTCAGGGCTTAGGGGTTTCAGGGCTTGGCGGTTTAGGGGTTTAGGAGTTTAGGAGTTTAGGGTTTAGGGTTTAGGGCTTAGGGGATATGGTGTAGGGTTGAGGGTTTAGGGGTTTAGGGTTTTAGGGGTTCAGGGTTGAGGGGTTTAGGGGAGTAGGAGTTTTGGGTTTAGGGGTTAGGGATAATAGGGTTGAAGGGTTGGGGGTTTGGGTTTTGGAGCATTTTGTGGTTTGAAGTTTGCGGCTTAGGAATTTTTCGGTGTTCTCGGAGTGTAGGGTTTTTGAGGTCTCGTGTTTGGGGTTTACGTCACAAATACGGTAGAGGCGCGAATGTCGTCGGTTGAAAGCAAGAAGGTCTTCGCCGCAGTCCATGCAATAGTAACTAGTAGCGGCCATCAGGGTTTCGGGCAGGCAGGCCTTGAGGGTTTTCTGCTTGAGGGTTGTTGTTTTAGGGTGCAGGCTTCATGGTGTGGGAGTATTGTTGCTTTGTCTTCAAGTCTTTTGTGTTTCGTAAAGCAATTTATATAATTTTGTCTTCGGCATCAGGTCTTTGTTGTTCGTTCGTGGCTTGTGGGTGCTTGGTGATGGTTAGGTAGAGCAAGACTGCGAGTTAATGAGGACAGAAAACTTTGTAGAATGTTCGTCTAAGCAAGATCCTCAAAATGTTGCCCTGCAACACCCCGTGCCGTTAATTCCAGGTTCGTTGCCGTTCAGCGCGAACGTGTCGAAATTGCAAAGTTTCCCGGCTGGATTTTAGGGGCAAAGCCCTGAACCCTAAACCTCTGAAAGGGAGCTTTCACACAAACTAAACGAAAACATAGAAAATCTCACCGTGAAGGGGGCTCGTGCACCCCAAAGCTAGGATCCTAAGGGTGCTGCTAGATTCAGCCTGCTTTTCTTGACGAAGTTCTTGATGGGTCCTTATGACGGCAAGGTTTCTAGAAAGGCTTTTCAGTGTTTGATTATGGCCGGCCCAATGGTGGTAAAAACCAATAGGGATATGAGGTAAAAAGCATGCTTTGCTTGTTCTGGCACCTTACATTAACGCCCAGAATTACAATAGTTATGGTATAATGTGCAGAACACTTTTCTATTTATAATGGCCCCCATATTACTCGGACCCTCCATTCAAGCCCGAACCCCCACAGCCTACAGGATCCCCTGTGTTTCATTCTCCCGTGTGTTGCGGATGCCCTCTTCAAAAACCAACTTGTCTGCTTGCGCAATGCTTCCATTACCCTAAACCGCCCTGCCTCCGAGACCCGCCATAAAGCCAGGATCACCTGGGCCCGAACCCGGTCGAGAAATCAGCTAACTCAGACAGTAGCAAGCCCTTCGATCCGTAGGCGATAGGTTGCTTGACTTAATCTCGACCGTCCGGGTAGCTGTATGTGGAAGGGCAGCGCTGCCGGATGCCCCTGTTGAACATTTCTTCGTTGCGAAAACTTTCCGAAGCCAACATCAGCGATGGCAAGCTCGCCAATGTAAAGGCCGGAATCGTCACCAGTGCCATTCAGCGTTCCTTAGTGCTCCTTATCCTTTTCTGGTTAGCTTAAATCATGATAATCATATACCCCTAAACCCTCCGTTCTAATTCTTTAGGCTCCTACTTTTTCCGATCCTGCACAATCTGCCCCCAAACCCGATTCGAATTAATTAGGCCCCTGCCTTTCCCGATTTCTGGGCTCAAACCGACTCTGACCTCCGATCGGGTCGCCGTGTGCGAGCCACCATTGCTCTGGCTGATCTTGCGGGTTAGGGTTTAGGGTTTAGAGTCCAAGGTTTAGGGGTTTGTGGTTCCTTTACGGGAGTGTTCAAGGCATCTATGACACTTAGGGGAGCTTGTGGATTCGGGTCGGGGTTTGAGATTTCTGGGTGGGTTCTTGTTTAGAGAGAGCGTAAAGTATGTCGCAATATTAAGGAAAGAAACATAGCAATAACCATGTGTAGTATTTACGGTAGATCCCTACCATGGTAACTTCAACTACATTCCTGAACAGCCCGGTTCTTGTGTCCAAGATTCAGGAGCCAACTTTCCAAGAGGGTGGGCGAGGAGCCAATGATCAACAACAGCTAGCATTGTCTGCAACTGTTCCGTGCTGGAAACAGCCGTGCTACTATTTCTAGCGAACTGAGTTGTAGCAGCAAATCTACACTGCCTACAAACACTCATTAGCCAAGCTTTCCCAGTGTTGCGCTGGAGCCGGGCTCGCCGTGCATGTCGCATGAACGCGTTTCTGTCATCGTCCCCGACTTCCTCTTCCTCTCTGACATGACTGCAGCCCTGGACGAATCTGTGGTTTTGGGTGATCACGGCTACCACTTCACGCATATCATCAATGCCACGGATGGCTGTGCTCCAAATAAGTTTGCCGGGACAGGCTCGATACAATATCTGAATATTGACATCGAAGATGACGCCACAGCGCAAGATCAGATGTTGACGGCATTTGGCTTGGCTTACGACTGGGTATCTGCCAGGAACCCAAAGGAAATGCGATTGTTGGTTCATTGTATGTGCGGTGTGTCACGATCAGCATCCATAGTGATTGCCCTTCTGGCCAAGTTACAGACGGGTGTGCCAGAAGGATCCTCGGTGTGGCGTTGCTTCCAGTTCGTCAAAGAGCGCCGCCCCATCATACGCCCGAACGCAGGTTTCCTGCGTGCGCTGCTTGCTTGGCAGGATCTGCTAGGTCCCGGAACAACCTTCCACGATGAGGAAAGGCAACAGCTGCTGGAGCTGATTGAGAAGACCGAGCTTTCGGACATCAGGGCGCCAGCGGCTGGCAAAGTGCAGGGAGCTTTGGACCGACTAACGCAGGACCAGGCAGCCTTCCCCCAGTGCAGCATTCTTTAGAACCTCAGCTTCTTGAATGTGGGCTGCTTCTTGCTGAGTGCCCTGTTGCATCGGCGATTTGTGCCCGGAAGTCCTGAAGAATGACTGCGGCTACCCTTGAAAATCAGTCCTCGGTCGCTTGCGCGACTGTCTCACGACTCGAAACGCAGCCCGCTAGTATAGAAGCCTGAATAAGCATCGCTACTAGGATTCCTTCTTATAACATCTTATAACTTTATTTTTTAGATGTACCCCAAAACCTTATTCTGAATGTTATGAAGCCCCTATACTATACATGAGTCCTGGCTACATGGAATCGCAACATGTTTGCATATCTGCGCAGGGGACTGGCAGAAGGAGAGGTCACCTAATTGGTTTGTTCGCTTGGATGACTTGAAAGATACAAGCTGAGCAGAAGCGAGTGAGATGCCGAGAAACAAGAACCCGGCAGATGTTGGACAAGCAACTTGTCCAACATCTACCGGGCTCTTGTTTCTCTGCATCTCATGTAAGACAGAAAACTTTGAAAACGAGATTTGGAGGCCTCTTATCCGAAGGTCGACATGTCGGCTGCCTGATATAGGGCTCCTTATTGTAGGGTTTAGGGCTCAGGGCTTCCTCAAGAGCCCGTAGAAAGGTAGGTTATTGAATGTCCAGGTGTAGCCTCTATCTGCCTGGTCGGAGCCTCACGGCTTCGAAAGTTGGAAGAAACTGAGCCAACTGTAGCATGGTAGCCTCCTAGAAACCTCGTAGTAGAGTAGGTAACTTGTAAATTGTTAAACTTTTTGGGAGGGATATTATGATGCTTCCTTTGTAAGTCCAAGGGTTAACCTGTCGTCTCCCTATGATACTGGACAGACAAGGGAAGCAACATCAAGGCAAGTGTGCGATGCCGGTGTTGGTGATAATGACGAGGACGATGTCGCCGAGGTTCTCCCAAGATGGTTTATTCTTACCACCAGCCCCACACCCCAAACCCCAAATCAAAAGACCTTACGCCGTAGATCCTAAAGCCCGAAAGCCCTGAATCCCTAAACCCTAAACCTTAAATCCCTAAACCCTGAACCTCCATACCCCAAGCTCCTGAACCCTACCCCCTCAAAGCCCCAACGACGGAAGCTCCACGCTGCTGAAGATGAGGCTTCTGTTGAAAAGCAGGGCCGACATGAACAGAGTGGACACGAAGCAGAGGACATGCAGCGGCTTAGAGATTAGGGCTTATAGAGTTTATAGGGTTTAGGGCTTATAGAGTTTAGGTTTTTGGGAATTTAGATTTCAGGGTTTGGGGTGCAGCGCTTTGGGGCCGAGATTGCAGTTTCAAGGGTTTTCAGAGATTCACTGGGGTAGTAATAAACCCTACCTTACTTGGAAGGGCAGGGGACTTAGTAAGTAGGTTATAAGTAGGATTATTATTGGGGTAACTCCATTTGGGGTACTTATAACTCTACTTATAACCTACTTACTAAGTCCCCTGCCCTTCCAAGTAACCCTGAATAGCCTACCATTTTAGGGTTCCTGACTATGATTTCCTTATATGAGCCCGAAACAAGGTATATAGGTTATTTGGGGTTCAGATCAACCTAAACCCTAAACCCGTGGGCTCGGGTTTGGCACGGCCTTTGGCTGGGATTTGACATCTGCAGGGTTTCGGGTATAGGCGTTCGAAGGTTAATGCAAGCAGTCAGCAGATAATCCGAGCGAGAGCGACGCCTGGATCCTTAGAAAGAAGATTTAGATGTACAAATTACGAATTAGCCTGCGTTCGAAGGTTTAGGCCTTCGGGCTGTGGCATCTCAGTTTAGGACCACAGGGTCGGACCCAGGTAGTAAACAGGTCCGCCCTATGCAACGCCTACTTTAAGATATCCATAGATATCCGGAACTATAGTACATGCTTCAGGTCAAATATATAGACCATAATTAAGATGAAGATGGTCCTGAACAGACGAACCCCTAAATCGCTATGCTGTTCTTGAAGACGATTTACTTACTAGTTATGCTGTCTTCTACCGTGTCTGAAAGCTTACTTTCTCAGGCGGAGTAGAGATGTCTAAGCCTTAAGCCCTAAACTCTAAGAGTGTATCTGGATAAGGAATCCCGATGCTGCTGGAACTCACAAGTTGAACCCCCCGAGAGCCCAGAATCCTTGCAACCCGAGAGGGTCCTTGAGCACTTCTCAAATAACAGTCTTAATTCAGGGTCTAGGGTTTGAAGTGTACCCTGGACCCTAAGTTCAGGGTTTAGAGTTTTAGGTTTTCGATTGCATTTTTATGGTTTTGGGTTTAGGGTTTCGGGCTTGGGGGCCAGGGCAGAATGGCCAACCCAAATCCCTTAAACCAGAAACCCTGAATTAAACCCCCAAATCCCGTTGGGTTTTTAGGGTGCAGGTGTTTAGCCCTAATCACCCAAAGCCGTAAACAAAGCCCCGTGACCCCTAAACCCTAGACCCTAAACCCTAGCCAGGCAGAAGCCGTAAAAAAAGCCCCGTGACCACCCGGAGAGGACGCCCCTGTACTTCGCTGCTTGCATGGGCCAGCTCAGGATTGCCCGGGTGATGCTCCATGGCCACCGGGAGGGTTGGGGTTTAGGGTTTAGGGGCCAAAAGGGGGTTAGGTTTGTATTCGGGGTGTATGCTTTCTCCATGGTGCGCAGGCGTGATTTCGGGGTTTCAATTTTTGGCCCTTGGTAATTTCTTCTCGCGATGCTAGACATTCCTGCAATTATTTATCCTGCTTACAAACATTCTGCTGGCTTTGGGCTTGCGGATCGTGAGCTTCTAGTAGGGTTCAGTGCTCGCTAAGACTTCCGAGAACGAATCCTGAAGCCTGCATAGCCTTATGGCCAAAAGCATAGAACCAAAACGTCTAGACACCAACCACCAAAAAGGCGCCAGGACTTCACACCGGACTCGGGAAGGCAAACATTAACTAGCTGAGCCCAAAAAGCAACCAAACAGAAACTGTTGGGTGAGAGATCCGTACCTCATTAGCTTACTTCAAGAGGGAATAGCGAATAGTGGGATACAGCAGCCTTGGGTTTTGCGCAGCTGCTTTTTTCATGTTCTGGTTCCCTATAAATCGACCCGAACCCCCTGCGAGCCACAGTCACCGCCCAGGCTGCGAGATCGCGTGTTGGTGAATTCGAGCTTCTTGGCTTAGGGTTCAGGGGCTTTGGGTTTAGGGTTTAGGGCCAAGAGTATAGCAGCTCAAGAACAGGTGTCGGTAGAACTTCCTACACAAACCGCAATCAACCCCGATAACCCTAAACCCTAAACCATGGGAGTTTTGCGTTGTTTGGTTTGGGGCATTTCGGATCAGAGTTCAAGGGTTTGAGGGTCTTAGTGTCGTAATCCGAGTCGTCGGGCAGGTAACCTTCGACCTTTTTTGGGATGGCAATCCGCAAAATTAAAGCCGATCTAGTTCCCTTAGGATAATACTGGACAAGTAAGTCACATGTGGGTTTTGACCCTAAGCGCCCTAGACGTGAATCCTGAGCCGCAAACCCCAAAACCCAAGCCCTAATAGTGTGCAAAAGCACCATAGCCACGACCCTAGAACCTTAGCCCCCAAACCTTAAAACTCCCATAGAGGGAACTGTACAGGAATCGTAAAACCCTAAAGCCCTAAACCCGAACACCACCAAAGTAATCCTTGTAATCTACCCTTACCAGGGACACCTGAAAACCCCTAACGCCTTACAGCCTGAAGCTCCAAACCCCCAGAGGGGCCCTTGTCGACCGACTTTAAGGAGACCTTAACACGGTCACCCGTCTAGACCCCCTTGCAAGGGACCCTAAAAGGAGCGTATAAACCCTAAAACCCCCATAGTGGCCCTCACAGACCCCCTGTCCTCAAAGTAATCTTTCCAGAACCCCGTAAACCCTATACCCTAAAAAGTGAAGGAATCCTCGAGCTCTAAACCCGAAAGCCTCCAAAGTACCCCTTCTAGACCCTATTAAACCTTGAAAAAGCTCTTAAACCCTAAAAGCTTCATAGTGACCCTCATAGACCCCTTGAAAAAGGGATCCACCAACCAAGGCCAAACCTAGAAGCATGTCGAATATGCATGTGGGAGATGAAGACCTCGCCAGACATGGGCCGTGTCCTAAGATGGCGAAATGGGAGTTTCCGAAAATAGGGGACCCTAATATATAGTACCCTATGTAAACAGTAGGATCCTTGTTATAAGGACCCCAAAATAAGGTACCCCTAGTTTTCGGAAACTCCCAAATTTATGCCACAAGATTGCAAAAGAAGGTGTGAGGAGTAGGTTCGCAAAGTGTGGAAGCGATGCCATACACCACTGTTGATGGACAAAATCCTGCATTACCCATTATCATAGTTCCCATAGTTTAGAGTCCTTAGGGTCATGCAGGATTTTGTCCATCAGCAGTATGGGAGCCGATCAAAGAGACCGTCGAAGAAGTCACCGGAGCTGCAAGCGCGACGAGTGTGCTCAAGGAGGAAGCAGGCCTGTCGAGGCTTTTGCTCAGCATGGATGTGCTCCCTAACTGCATACCCGCACTAATGATGGAATTGCACAAGTGGGGCGTTTGAAAAGACTAACAGACGGGGGATCTTGGGCACAATGGCTTGGAAGAGTATTGCAGATTCCGTGGGAGGGTCCGCAATGCAAAGCCGACACAGAAACTGCAAGACTCCGATGCGATCAGGAACTTCGACAACAACCCCCCCTCCTTAAAGGGGACCTTTCAAGGAACTTACTAACCCTAAAGCCCTTTTAGACCCCCTTGAAAAGCAACTTGAAAAGTAAGCCTTCGTAGATATTCAGCCTTAAGCTGACAGAACTCCAAAGTCCTGAAGCCCTGAACTCAAGGAGATCGCCGTGGGTGGACGCCGCTGCACGCCGCAATAGCTCATGGACAGGCCGTGTGCAAGAAGCCCTTGTCTTTCCTTGTTTTCTTACTTGGTGTTCTTCTGGTTGGCTCTTTAGACTTTAACGTTTTGGGTTTCTATATGAACTATAATACGGAGGCTAAAATGTTTAACTTTTCGGAGGGGTTCAGAAGTCAGCCAAGTTTAAGTTCAGGAGTCTGGGGTTTAGGAGTTAACTTCTGGGGTTTAGAAGTCTAGGTTTAGGAGTTTCGGAGCTCGGGTTTCGGATTTTAGGACGTCTAGGGTTTAGGATTTTAGGACGCTTAGGGTTTAGGAGTTTAGGACGTTTAGGGTTTTGACTTTTAGGGCGTTTTAGGGTGTAGGATTTTAGGGCGTTTGGGGTGTAGGATTTTAGGATGTTTAGGGTTTAGGATTTTAGGACGTTTAGGGTTTAGGACTTTGGGACGTTCAGGGTGTAGGAGTTTGGCAAATTTCGGATTGCCACTTCGGGTCTCTAGTATCAAACCTTGATTAAACCCTCTAACCCTCACCCTAAAGCATAAATCCCAAAAATCTCAACCTCAAAGCCTATACCATCAACCCCAAACTCTGAGCCCTCTACACCCTGAACCCTCAAACTCTGAGCCTGGAGCCTTAAGCCCCAAAAAAGCCGCGGCAGACTGACTGTTTTCTAGACCCTTGCGGTTCGCAAGATGGAACCTGCACGGGAAACCTATTCACTAATTTCACGGCCCGCTAATATCTCAGAACTATTCTCCTACACCCGAAACTTTTAAACTTTGAATCCTACATCTTAGACCCTAAGTTGAAGCCCTGACAGACTGACATGGTCCGGAGTCTAATCGACTGGGGCGCCGACATCACAGCAACCCGGCTGGAGCTTTCCGGATAGTCGAGCCTTAACAGTTACTCTTAATGGTTCCTTGTATATAGATACATAATTAAACATATGAATATGTGTATATATAAGGGTTCCTTAACACTGTTCCTTTCGGGGCTTGATGTTTATAGGTTTAGGGGTTGGGTTCCTTGCACGTGTTCTCATACACGCGTTTAGTGGTTAGGCTTGACGACGAAGCCTTTATGCTTCGGACAGGATTCCTTGATAAGTATAATATATCCCAAAGCCACATTCGGATAATAAGGCCCCTCAAGTAGAGGATCGAAACACACTCCGAAATAATCATAGAACGAACCCTTGCAGCTGATTCGGTGATTTATATCCTAAACCCCTACACCTTCCAACACCGGGCACCCAAGATCACTTGCACATGCGGCTCCACCTGTGCGGCTTTCTCGGCGCTCTACAACCAAGCTGTGGCCAGCACCTCAAAAACAGCAGGATTTCAGGGCTTTGTTTGAATGTAGCATGGCATGCTACTTAGCTTTGTGTGGAGTCCAGACGCTGTTTCGCTGGAATGTAGCGACTTTGCCTATGGAAATTCCTAGGCTCTCACAGCTTCTTTGTAGTGACTTCTCAACCCAAAGCATATACCACATTGATACATGGACAATCAGGGTTTATTAGTTAGAATACGACAAAGGGGTTACTATTGCTTCCGGCGGTAAGACTGCGAACTAGCTGTGCTTGAACTTTGTATTCGAGAGGCTCGAGTAGCTTTTTGCTTCTGTCGGGAAGTCCCCTCCCGAGGTGTGGATGGTGTACAGGTTGCCTCAGGACTTGTTGCTTTTATGTCCGCCCTGGGAGATCTACCAGCGGCTTTAGGTACCAAGCTTGAGTCCAGGTTTTGTCTGATAAAGAGGATTCAGAGCCGGACCAGTTGCACGGAAGTGAGCTTCTATTGAGGCCTACTAGGGCTGGCAGGTCAGAGAAACAAACATGTGGGTGGTTGTCAAAATTATGGTCCCTTTCTGGGTCCTTATTATAATACGGCACCTAATATTTAGGGTACCCGAAAAGGGACCCTAATTTTGACAACCACCCATGTGCAGCAGCGCAGCATCAGTCCGACTGCGTTGCACGAGCCGTCATCTCAGCAATGGATGCCCGATCACCATGGTGCAATTACATTGTGCCATCCTTCAATATGGGAGTTCCCGAAAATAGGGGGGGCCCTAAGATAGTACCCTAAATAGTAGGATCCTTGTTATAAGGACCCCCCCAAAATCAGGTACCCCAATTATCGGAAACCCCCATGTCATGTCGTGAACTTGCCTTATCCTTCACCCTTAACGATGTGAAACCCGGAGCATGAACATCCAGACTCGACTCGTTTGCCTCGGCACCTGAATCCTTCTGTGGGTTTCTGTCCACTGACATGGGTTTAGTATTGTATGCGATCGATATTTTCTTAAGCTATGTCAAGTTCTATTCTTCTCCACTATACTATATTGTGATGTAAGTGCAACCGAAACTTGAATCAAGCCCATCTGAGAACCTCCGGTCTCCCAGAAATCATTCGAACCAGAACCTTCCGAGAACATCGTAGTAAGGGTTTTGTGTTTAGGGTTTCAGGTTTAGGGTTTAGTTTAGCATGTTACAGAGTTTAGTTTGCAGGCCCTGTTGGCTTAGGGTTTCGGGTAATGTCGTGTCTATACGGCTTTGGAACATTAGCGTTTTTGCGTGATGGCCGGAGAGGCTATGGAATTGCTGCTGGACAAGCGCGCGGATTTCAACTATGCCCTTCGCCTGCACTTCTGCGCCCGCTTAGGAGCCCAAAACCCTGCCTCAACCCTAAGCTGGAAACCCTAACACCATCAACCCTTAAGCCCGAAAGCCCTGCAGTTACCTAAGCCGGAAACCCTAAAACCATGCACCCTCAAGCCCTAAAGCCTTACAGTTATAGCCTTACAGAAACCCTTACCCTCGGAAGCCTGGCCGCAAACCTGATTAAACGGCTCGAGGCCTAAGCTTTTCCGTGTCATGGTTGGGTAGTTTTAAATGGGTACTTAAGCTCAACAAGGAATAGAAGTTTAATTTTTTCATGGGTACTTAATCTCAATAATAAGGAATAGAAAAACGCATCCTTTAATACTATCCGTACCAGAAACTAATTTTTGGATGCCTCGCGTTTGCCGAGGCCGAGCAGGAGCTCTACACACCCCTTCACCACGCAGCAGAGCCCCACGGCAGAGGAGAAAATTAAGTTTAGGCTTCAGGGTTTAGGGCTTAGGCTTCAGGGTTTAGGGTTTAGGGTTTAGGGCTTAGGCTTCAGGGTTTAGGGTTTAGGGTTTAGGGCTTAGGCTTCAGGGTTTAGGGTTTAGGGTTGAGGCTTCAGGGTTTAGGGTTTCCCAAGCGTGCGCGTTGTTTTTTGGAAACGAGGGGCTTTGGGGTCACAGGACCAGGGTTTCTCAATCAGGCCCCTGCATTACCAGTGGCTAAACCTCTGTCTATCAACGCTGTGAGAGTGGAAACCCGAAACACTAGCTAACTTCGGGGTGTTTCAACCCTGGTAAGTTAAAAGCCAGAAAGTTGGAATATGATTATCCTAACCCTTCTATGGTAAATTATAGGGTATCCTACCATTAAACCATATTCCAACTTTCTGGAGTTCTCTGTAAGATCCCTGTATATAAAGCCCCAGGAGGTTCTCAGAAAACGCCTGATTCTTAAGCCCTGTCAGAAAATGAGGGGGCCGGCAATGTGGATACTGAGTTTGTAAGATCCCATTTATGCAAGCCCCCAAGCTACGACTACTACCAAAACCCAAAACCCCAAATTCATCGCTAAACACCATATTATAGAAGCCTATACTAAGAATTACAAATATTCTTCCTCGGGGTTCATTATCAGAAATATGCCTTATGGACGACAGACCCGATTCTAAATCTGAAGGCACCGACATTATGCTCGAAGCCCGAGGCAAGCGCTTACCTGATCTGACCCAGGTTTGGCTTGCTTGACGGAGTGGGAAGGCTTCTCGAAATCCGGGCCGACGTGGAGAAACGCCTCTCGGAAGAAGGGCTGAGCGCTTAGGCTCGGTTTCGGGTAGAGAGCTGACAGTTGGGCTTCCAGTTTCGAGCTTAGGATTCACGGCTTTATCTGTAGCTCCACACCGGACAAATTAGTAGATAGGGTATACACGCTTAAAACACTAAGTTCTTGCATTCCCAGGTAGATCTCAGAGGGAGTTATGTAGGCTTCAGAGATTGACCTCATTTCCATCGTAGGTGACTGAGAGGATCAGGGAAGGCCCTGTTGGCCAAAAGCCATGGGAGCTTGACCTTCGGATACTATAGGGGCTTCAATAATTAGAATAAGGGTTTGGGAGGGGGGGGGTGGAATATCGTACTATAATTCCTGAGCCCGATCGCCTACATGGAGACTTCACCACCTGATATACAGGCTAAAACCATTACCAATATCTTATTCACTAGGGTTCCACAATATGCTTATGCTATAGACGAGCCCCAAACCCTATTCCAATTATTGAGACCGCACATGACCAATTTTGAGAAGCCCCATGTTAAAGAAAAAGCCCGCATAGAAGACCATATCGCCTCCTTTCAGGGATATAAGACAGTTACAGCGCCTTTGAAAACTCCCATGCCGAGGGACAAAAGAAGGCTGCACGGCCCTCTTCTTGGCCGCCCAAGAGGGCAGGCTCAAGGCTGTCTCTTGGTGGCTTATGGTTTAGTGTTATTGGGTTTGGGGATGGCTTTTTGGGGGTCTAGGATCTAGGGTCAGTAGGGGTATAGCATGGAGCTGTTCCTGATTGCACAGGGTTTTCTCAGGGCTTTAAGTTTAGCATCTTGAGGTATAGAGTGTAGGAGTTGGGAAATTATGGGTTGAAAGACGTAAGGCACGCCTGCAGGCGGTCTGGTAGGCTCGACGTATTAGGCGGTATTAGGGCTTAGGGAGTACATGGGTTAGATGCCCAGTCTCAGTGGGTTCGAGGAAAAGGTGAATTAAGCCGGTTGTAGGGCTTAGTGTAGTCTCGTCAGGAACTGCAAGCCGCCCACTCCAAAGGCTCAGCTAGAAGCTCGGTTGAGATTTCTTTGTCGGGATGATGAGGACTATGGATGCTATGTTCATGGCTTATGCGGCTCTCATCCCACATGTTCTGCAAGATCAGAGCTTCCCCCAACCTTAAACCCCACGCCTTAAAGAGTAAACCCTCAACTTAGACCGCTTGTGGCACTTTGCCGGAGCCACTCGAAGCCATCACCCCCAAGGCAATCAGGAGCCGGAAGCCATGTTAAACCTCTGTTGGAAACTTAGGGGGCAGGGTTGGTTTGTTGAGACAACATGTAATATAGAGGCCTAAATAAGTAATTACCAGTACTATTTTGGGGTGTCCTTGCTATACTTGCGGAATAATGGAGCCCAAAACCCTGTCTGATCATTACGGACCCTACATTACAGTCTGTGCAACCACGGACATGTAGAGCAGAGATCCGGTTCTTACAACTTACTCCGGGATCTCAAACCCCGCACAAATCCCAGAAACCCGTTCCCCTATCCCCCCAACCTTGTAAAGCCTTAAAGTGGGGTAGTTAACCTTTAACCGTAACCGTTTTGACATAGCGTGATCCCTTATATACATAATATAGAGCCAGACCCCTCAATTAAAGCTCATAGCCCTATCACCGAAAAGGTTCACTTGCTCGTGATGGCCAGAGCAGACATCAACGCGCAGAAGATCACGAGCAGCGCTTTGGCTGCTTTAGAGGTTAGGGTTTGGGTTCCGGATACTAAAACTATTTGGTATTTTGTTTTGGGTTTAGGGTTTGGGGTTTTGGGTTCAGAGTCCCTAAACCCTAAACCCTAAACCCCAAAACCCTAAACCCTAAACCCTAAACCCCAAAACCCTAAACCCTAATCCCTAAACCCTAAACCCTAAACCCTAGGGTTTAGGGGCCAGGTCTAATTACCCCAAGGGGCTCCTTGGATTGAAGGGGCCTGGGAGGGTTTCGATACGGGTTCAGAGCCTTTGGGTTTAGGGTTAGAGTAGGGTTTAGGGTTTAGGGTTTAGAGTTTAGGGTTTAGGGTTTAGGGTTTAGGGTTAGAGCTGTAGCTTTTTCATAACCACACGAAGTAGCCATTGGGGGGTAGTAAGTAATGGTATGTACAGCTACCTTGCTTATAACCGTAGTTGCTAAGTCTCCCACTAGCCTTTAAGTAGTGGTGCTTAATTACGGGTCTTGGCAGTGGCCATAGACTCAGAGAGTCTCGTACACAAGCTCTGAATCGGGTCTTCTGCATTTAGTTCCTATCCCGATGTTTTAGGAGTTCTACGCTACAGTTCAGGGTTCCGATTCGATGGGTGTCGGGAGTTTATGTTTGGGCTTGGGCACGCTTCCTAGGCTACTGTCTAGAGTGCAGGGTTTCCGAAGCCTTGAGCCTTAAACCCCAAACCCTACCCTTCCCTGAGGGTCCATGTACCCAAATAGTATATACATTTGCCTTAAAGTAGGGCTCGAATCGCCGCCAGTCGGAATAGAGAGCCCCAGTGCGCAAAGCGCACGATCGCCGGCCCCCTTTTTCCGCTGCCATTGCGAAGTTCTCTTCGCCTTCGTGGCATCGCCGGGCAAGGGCGGCCCGCTCAACAGTAAGGAAGCTGAGAGCCTCTGGCCGGCACCTTACAACGAGGCAAACGTCTTTGCTCCTTCTGCATCACGCTACTGGAGCAACCGAAAGAAGAGCGCTTGCGTGTGCCCTTATGGGCCGCAAGGATAAGAACAAGTCCAAGGAGTCATGGGACAGCCAAGGACGCAATCCTTCTGCCTATTCCTTGTGGCGTGGTGCGTACTCTTCGCCAAGAGGGCGGAACCCCAAGGCGTGGAAGGACTACTCAGGTTGGGAAAATTGGGAAGGCTCGACACCTACCTTCCCGGCTTTCGATGCAGGAGGATACAGCAATGCCCCGCCTCCGCCCGCGACCGAACCCAAGGAATATGGCCCTGGAGAGTACCTGAACGTCTTCCAGCAGGCCCTCAACCATGCAAGGCGCGCGGAGCAGAAAGTTGCGCGCATGGAAGGTGCGAGGAAGAAGATGGAGCAGCAGTGGGTTCAGTACGAGAAATCTGCTCTCGAGGCTTTTGCGCGAGAGAAGATCCGGTACAAGCAGAAAATGCAGAAGCTCGCCAGCGACTTGCGCGAGGCGGAAGCAGCTCAAGACCAGGCGCGCCAAGGCTTGCGGGAGGTGCATCTCGTGGATGCCAGGCAGGCGCGCCCTACAGTGATGGAGACCGAACTTGTCGATGCCGAGACAGCAGACCTCTTTGCCAGAGCTGGGGATGTACAGTCAGACTGGCAAGGCATACTGGCACGTGCCCTGAGGTCCTCTCAACCTGCCTGCACACCTACGAGGCCTTCTACCACGGCTCCCAGGTCTCCCCGGACCGAGCCACAGAGCAGTGTATCGCGGACTGCCGGGATGGATGCACATCAGAGGGGAGAGGCTTTTGCCGTCACGATCCTTACCACCTGCAAGCTGCACCCTCACCGCCCATGGTGAATACTGCTTCTGCTGGGCAGCCACCGGGCTTGAGCCCCCAAATCCCGAAGCCTCCTGGCCACCACCCGGGACAGAGGGTTATGGAAGAACCCAGGGTCCCTACCTCGATAGCTCCCCCGCGCATGGGCATCAAAGAAGCCACCATGGCTCCCAAGCCTCCGGAAGCTCAGCATTCACAGTTGTCGGAGAGACTCCAAGAGAAGAGACAGCGAGCCGCTGCCGAGCCGAATCCGGGGGGACGTGCCATGCATCCCTTCGGTATTCCTCAGGCTCTTCATCCTCAGGTGCCTCCGGAGATATCGAACTTTCTGGACGACGACGAAGACGATGCCGACCTGGCACACGAGCTTTCAGCAGAGGAGATTGCGAGACTGACAGCTGGACGGCTGCCAGGTTCTGGCAACGCAGGGTAGTCTGCGACCTACATGGTAGGTTGAGCTCTCAGGAGAGCCTCGTCTTACACCACCGAGCTGGCAGACTGTGGAGTCCAGACGCCTCAGGGACCCCGCTGGGGCGCGGGTTGCTGCATGGCTATGTACCCCTCGGTCAATGCTATCTTGGTTGGTGTGAGTATGAGCGTTCCTGTGGAGCTGAACGGTTTCACAGCTACTTAGGCTGCTGCAGTCTGATTTTCCTGAGACGGGCATCTTTTAGCTGTGTGTTCCGTGCTCTGGGCTGCTTCCCTGTCGGAACGGGCATCTTTGCACTTTCGGCCCATGCTTCCTCGTGCAGGGTCACTTCCCTCTCTGCCCTCCTTGCTGAAGGTCCATGGAAGGCCTGCTGTTGGGTTTGCAGCATCCCTTCCTTGGACTTCCTGGTCTCCTCTGCCAAGTTTCGGGTACCTTGGTCTTGGGTATTCCGCTTCGAGGCCCCGCCATTTTGCTCCGCGGGTCAATGCGCCTGGTTTTTCGGCTGCTACCTTCGCGTTGAGCCTGTGCGCCATCACGTGCACTGCATTCCGTTGCCCAAGCAGACCCCTTTTCCCAATCGGGTTTCTAGTGGTTTAGGCCCTCCGGCCCTCTCGGGTTCTCTAGGAGCACTTATGCCCTGGGACCCCTTCGCTCCCTTCTCTCTCCAGGTGCCAAAAAGTCATATCGGTGGCTCTGGGATGACTACCTTGGAGAAGGGGAGCTTTCTTGCAGTTCTATTTTTCGGGCTTCTATCGGCCTTGATCAGCGGACTCCAGAATCAAGCAATTGCTGTATCTCATTCAGTAGCAGGAATCTTCTTCTGCACCCTGTGCCTAGCTTTAGCCAAGGCTATGGGTATGAGAACCCGCCGCCGCGATCGGTTATCTGCTGATTCGGGAGTTGCCTCTCTCTTCAGCATTCTTCTATGCTTAGGCACCATAGGCTGTGTGGGCCCTCCCGGCAAGGCTCAGCTCAAAATACCATGCCGCAATACCACCCGGGCACCCGGTTATAGCTTCTCTAGGCTTGGAAAGCTCATTTGGCCCCTCCTGCTGATGAACCTGCCAATTTGTGTCTGGAGTGCGCCTAAAGAGCTACCTGACCCATTCGCTATACCACCTGTTGGCCCGGCAAATGACGCCGGCCGTGTCTATCCGGAGCCTCCTGATCCGTTGGAGGATGGTGCTGGACTCCCGCGTGGCCGTGCCCCAGACATCATTCATCCTGCAATCGTACCGCCCCGCGGACCCCCCCTCCACTTCCGGTCCGTTTGGAGCTTCCTGCTCTCCCCAGGCAGACTGTTCCCGTGCGCACTCAAGACGTGCAATGCACTGCTGTGATCCTCTCCCCGGGCCGTCTGCCGCATGTGCTAAGGTTCCCGTTGGGCATGCCCTGCGATGTTGAAGACTTCCTTGATGTGGCTGAACGTGAAGTGGCACATCTCGATCTTAAGTTTTGCGACAGGATTCAGCCAGCCCGCCCACAGCCAGTTCCAGGATGCGCGACACTTCTCGCGATCCCCTCGTGGACTGCCTTTTCGGCGCTCTCCGCCATTTGCCTCGACTTGCGCGACATGAGCCCTCTGGGTTCTGGGCCTCTAGTTGCAGCATATGTCACAAGGCCAACATGTAAAGCCGAATTATGCCGTCAGGCAGGTGCTTTTGGATTCCGTCCTTGCTCTGTGTACGTGGGAACTGAAAGTGCTCCTTTGGATCATGAAGAAGCCATTTCCCTAGCCAATGGGTGTGTAGTCTCCTTTCGGCCAGATGACACTCTTCCTGATTTCGCTACGGACATTCAGTACCGACTACATTTTGCAAACATGTGGCCGGCGCACCCACCCCTGCCACCACCACCACGGCTACGTTCTCTCTTGCTTTTGAACCAGCGAGGCAGATACCTTTTTCGCCCACAAGCAAGCGACACCCCGCTTGATGAAGTGGCAGCTCGATTCATCGGTGTCGAGCGCGATTCCGTGGACATACACACTCCTGATGCAGGTTGCGATCAGCTTGTTCACCAAGGAATGGGGATTCGCGGCGTTCTTGCCTTTGTGGAGCGTGATATCCTGCCACCGGACATGCCGCAGTACGTCATCTTCCTTGACCTCCGACAGGTTGCCTCAGGGATTAAGTTTCTAGTCCTTAACCGCCCTTACATCCCGAAGACTGACCTGCCTGGGCTTGTAGGTAGGCGTCCCCCACCGAGCTGGTTCCTACGCATAGAGGGAGGCCGTATGCGCCGGGATAGACTTGATGTCAGACAGGGCTGCACTCTTATCTTCGGTTTTGAGTTCAGTGATGACCCGGACCAGCCTCCCGACACCTTCTCTCCTACCACTGACGAGGAGGACAGCGATAGTGAAGGTTCCGGTGACCCGGACACCACCACAGCCCCCGCTGATTCAGATGGGGAACACCTGTTTGATGATGACCCTAGGTTCCTTCGCTCAGCAACTCGGTCCCGTAGTCGCTCCAGGCGACGCAGCCCCGACCAGTCTGGGCCAGCAACTGCGTCATCTGCCACTCCACCCCCAGCCGCCCTTGTCATCACAGCTGGCCTTTCGGCCCTCGTGCAACAGACGGCAGCCCTCTCTGCCCCCCCCACAAGCAATCCTCATCGCATAGAGGCATGCACTGGGTCAGCCTCTGAGGGATTCAGCTTTCTTGGGCTTGGTGGTTGGCTTGTACTAGGTTTTGGGATCCTTGGCCTCATTCTCATCCAGGTTGCTGCGAGCCTTCTCCGGTCCAGAGGGCGTTTTGGGATTAGGTTCAGCACTCGC